ATCCCTGGTATCTAAAGGTCTTGTAGAGTCGCACCCCACTATTACTGTAACAAATTCCATTTCATTGTCAAATATTCAGCTGCCACCTAATCAGATAAAACCCCAAGATGCTCGGGCAGTGTGGTCTGCTCAACTTCAAAGTCAACAATTGAGTAGCAACCAATTACACCCAACTAGGCTATTGCCATCTGGTCATATGTCCATGCCGTCCAATGACCACCACAGTTCTACTTCCATGAATCCAAATGGCAATACTTCAATGAATCCAAATGGCAATTTGGTGAATTCTCTAACAACAGCACATAAAGACATGCAAAGTAGTGCTCAACATATTTACAGACCAACATCTACTAATACTGTTCTTCCACCTAAAATTCACACAAAAACTGAAGAACAAAATATATCATTGTGGTCACCTGCCTCTGAAATTAAGCATGTTCAATCTGGTAGCCCTCCCCAAATACTCACAAACAGGCCAGGTCAGGTAGTAGCTGCCACTGCTCAATTTCCACTTAAGGATCCTCCTGGCAGTCTCCTGGGGTCAGACCTCAGTAAAACGTCAATGAATCCTAACCCCACATCTATTACACACTGTGGTTCTCTACCTCTTTACAAATCACCTTCAACTAATGTTGCACAGACATTGTTTGGCCAATCAAATCCTTCCCAAACAGGCCATCAAATATTGCCTCAAATTCAAAAGACACAGATTGCTTCTGTTAAACCGTCACAAATACTTCCCACAGCCATGGGCAACACTAATGTAACTATCCCATCTACATGTCCGCCTTGTAACACCATAGAGTCAAACATTACGGCTCCTATTCCAACAACAAGCATGCAAAGTAATATGAAAACTCTTGTACCTACTAACATTAAAAGAGAGGAGAACTGTAACTTCAGTTCTTTCTCAATGCAAAAAGATTCACCAGAAAACACAACAAAAAATGATACAGTACAAAATCCTTCTTGTCAGCCTCCTGAAAACCTAAATACTCCAGACAATAATTCAGAGAATCGCAAAACAGTTAGAAAAAGAAACAAGGTCAGATGGCCAGCAATTGTACGAGATGGGAAATGGTTTTGTTCACGGTGTTATAGAGCATTCAATAGTTCTAAATCTCTTGGTGGCCATTTGTCTAAGCGATTAGCATGTAAACCATATGATGAAATGGAACTGAATGCTGATCTCCCAGCATCATTTCTTGACCTCCTTAATTCTGACCAAACTGTTATTCAGCAGAACCATACAAATATTCCATGTGATACCTTCAATAACAGACCCCACATATCAAAATCACATGGCTTGTTAGAGCAAAAAGGTAGCACCTCTCAGAAATACCAAGAAAGGTTAAATGGGGAGACAAGCAATGACATTCTCAAACAAATTGTTAAAGCATCTAATATAGTGGACCCGTTTATCCCATCACACACACCTCAAATCCAAAAACCTTGTGTTTCTACTGCCACAAATTTTCAGAGTGGCTCTGTCAAACAGTCTATGGATGGTGTTGGTCGAGATGTTGGCTCATCTAACATTCCTAATTATTCTCAACCGAGGCCACCAGGTCGAAGATATCCAACACCACTACTTTCCCAAGCACTCAAAAACAGCAAAGAGTTTCCCTCAGTCAAGGCTAGCAGCAGTCAACAAGAAATTGATTCAAAAGATCAAGCAACAGTGTTGGGTGTTGTGCCGCAACTCATGCATCCAAAGAGTTCAGCTACAACCAATATAATGCAACCTGAGAGATGTAATATGGAGCAAGATATCAAAAAGAAATTACGGGAGCAGATCTTGGCTGGCGATTTTCAACGCAGAAACAATTTGGTTAATGTTTGCCATAATTCTGGGGCTCAAAGCCCAATGTCTTGTGGTTCTGAATCAAGCTCTAAAAATGAGGATTGTCAAATGAACTGGGATGTTAAGGGTTGTTTTGCAAGCAAAGAAAGCACTGTCATCATCCCTGGCACTCCAGCTGAAATAGAGGAACTCTTAAAAACCAAAAGCTTTACATGCTTAAGACCCAACACAAAGCGGGACATGCAGAGCTCCACAAGTGTAGATCTCAATCAAGATGTCGACACTGAGCCCCAGCAGCTGTCTCCCAGTCAACAACAATGCTTTTCAGAACTGAAGATTGCATTTGAAAAGATGAACCTTATTAGGGAATCACCTGAACCAATCCCTGAGCCTGTCACTCTAAATACAGGTTTAAACAGCTCAAGCACATCCTCTGAAGTAACACCAGATGATTCCTTAGCTGTGCCCAAATTATTTGTCTGTGATGCTGAAAATTGTGCGTACAATACGTTTTCAAGTGAGGCGTATTGGAGACACCTCTATAAAGTCCACAACTACACATTTGAACAAGTTAATGCTGTCAAAAAACAGCATGGACAATATGCTCCATTTCAGTGTCAGAGATGTAATAAAACATTTACACGCAACCCAAATCTTAAAGCGCATTACATATCTGCTCACCAGCTGTCATTTGAAGAAATCCACCAGTTAGACATGAAGCGTAAACAGGACAGGGCAGCAATGGTCCGCTTGATTACTTTGCACAATGGTGGTGCAAAGAAAAAGCGTCCTTCATCTGTTGGGCACCAAGAATTAGTACATCAGAAACCAAGTAATCCAGGATGCACATCAGTTATTCAGGCTTTACCCAAGACAAACTTCCATAATCTGACTGTAAAACAAGAAGAGCATGTCCGAACACCCACAGAAGAACACACTACCAATGGCCATCAGAGAACTGCAACCAATGGGCCAGTTTCAAATGGTTGTCAATCAGTTATTGCTCATCTACCCCAAGGAGATGTTCCATATCAGGCTAAAGGGCTGCTCACACCTGGCAAACAATCAAATAGACCAGCAACAGTGAAACCGAGTAACGATTTGATTAAGAAAATTGATAAAAAATCCACATCAAGCGATACATTAAGCCCATATAAGCCCTATCGATGTGTTCACCAAGACTGTGAGGCTGCTTTTGCCATCCAGCACAATCTCATCCTCCACTATCGAGCTATTCACCAATCCGCTTTATCGGCCCTCGAGGTCAACAAAGAGCAAGATCAGAATGAGGCAGACGGAGTTATGGATCAGGAGGAGGAAGAAGAGGAGCCATCCATTTCAGAGTTCCGATGTCAAGTTAAAGACTGTTCCCGAGTTTTCCAGCAGGTTCCTCAACTCATGCAGCACTACCTTCGACTACATGAGTTCAGCATTGATAAAGTGGGTGATCTATTGTCAATAATTAGACTTGGAAAATTTACTTGTGGCCATGAAGGATGCGCTGTATCATTTACTGCTTTCTGGAAATATATTGCACATGTTAAAGAACTACACAAAGATATCAAGCTATCCAAACCGGAAAACATGTACAAGTGTGAAATTGAAGGCTGTGATCGTGCCTATGCCACAAAGTCCAATATGCTCAGGCATCTTATGAAAAAGCATAACGATTTTTACCAACTTAAACAAAAAAATCAGCCAAAACCAGAGGATGTTGTTAAGCAAAACTCAAAGAAAGAGTATCAACTTAATAAAACAAGTGATGGGAAAGAAAATATTGAGAGTAATCAAACAAGTCAACAGAAAGACAGTAATGCAAAAAGAACAAGGAAAATAAACAACTATTGGACTAAATATGAAAAACCTGTTTTAAAATCAAATGTAGAAGCATCTGCAATGTGCACCAAATCCTATCCGTTACAGTATCCTTGCATGATTAAAGGATGCGAGTCAGTTATGAATTCTGAGAAGAGCATCTTAAAACATTACACTGTTCATGGACTTAGTGAAAAATTTTTGGAACAGCATAGAAGTCACTACATTTTCTGCAAAAAGTTTCCCAGACAGAAAAATGGTTCTGTTAGAAGTGATGATTCCAAGTCAGACCCTTCTTCTGACTCTGAACCTGAGCTAACCAGTCTCAATGGCACAGAAGAGATGCATTTTGATGATTCCAAACCCTTTCTGCGCAAAAGGACTAGCCCAATAATCCCAGCTTCACTACTTGATGGACTGTCTAATGATGACAGTTCTGATGGCTCGGTGGTAATGAAACGCAAGCGTGGGAGGCCAAAAAGGATTGTTGAAAAAATTGTCAAACGCAAAAAAATGTCCCAACCACCTAAAGTGTCTGAGAGCAGGGATGAATGCTCTAATTCATCTGTTATCCTCTCAGAGAAGGAGTCTGACCAGTCAATGTCTTTGGCTGCCTTCAAACCAATGGGATTTGAAATGTCTTTTTTAAAGTTCTTGGAACAGTCAAACAAGACCCAGCCTTCCCTCTCATGTGAAATACCACTGATTGGCCCATGGGTCAGATTATCCCAACTGAACACCAAAGAAACCTATGTAAAATTCAGCAACCGACAGAATATGAAAACATTGGACAAAGTGAAAATAGTTATGGACAAAGCATTTTTAGGTGTGACCGAGCTAATGTTGAAACAATTGCAGGAAATGCAGCCTTTGGTTATATTGGAGAAAATATGATCTTTGTTTTTGGCAGTATCTCAGGACAATTCGACTACATACCCATTAGTTCCCAACAGTACTTCTGTTTTTGACTAACAATGAACTGTAAAATTAAATGTATATCTATAGAAAAGTGTAAGCATGTTTAACTTATGAACTGATCTCTGTCTCAAATTTCACTGTGAGACTGATAGTGGACTTTGTATGCTAGTATTGTGATTAGACTGTAATTTGAAAATGTTGTGTACATATTTTAAAACGCCGCCTACTGCCACCAGCAGATTCACTCTTATTAAAACTTTCTAAAAAATATATATACATAACTTCTTGTATCTGCCTCATATCTTAACATACATTAAGAACATTAGAAAAGGGAGTGTCCTGTAAGGAAAACAAAATGGCAAGATTTTGGCAAATTCATCTTGGGTAGTAGCAACTGGAAAGATGATTTGTTACTATAATTCATGTGACAAAAAATTTAAAATCAGGTTTACTATATTTGGGTAGTTTAATGTGTTAACTGACATAATTTTACTAACATGTTATTGTTTTCAATACAAAAAAAATATTAAATACAGTGTTAACAATTTGAAATTATATCTTCAAATCTTCTCACAGCCTCCATTGGCCTCATGACCCCCACGCCAAAGAATATTTGACCCATAGCTTTTTATTATATACACTATATACAATATAGTGAAATGAAGGTGAAGAGCAGGGAGACATTCAGAGCGTTTGTTATAGAGTGAATATGGGCAAAGTATGGCTGTCAAGTTTGATCCTTTAAAAAAAGATAAACATCATACGACTTACTAACCTTATCCTTATGATGTGCAGAATTTAAAATCATATATTGGACTATTTTTTTGAAAAGTGATAAATGACTAAATGAAAGTTAGCAGTGACAAGCTGTATGTTTATATATATTAAATAAAATAGATAAAATTTATTTATTTTACAAAATAAATGACTAAGAAGTAGCCTGCAAAACAATGGTATTAACAATTTTGTCAATTTTTTGAGTCCAGGGATCACTTATTTGTATAGAAATCATTTGTCATCAGTCCCCACAATGGCATTACAATAAAATTCAGAAGTTCAGATCATATTTATAACCAAATTTGGAAGAAAAGTTTATTTCTCACAGTATTTTCTTAATTAGTGTCCTCGTTTCCAGTAGCATTCGCGTAATGTTCCATGCTGTCAAAATTTCTGAGAGACCCCACTTTGAGAATCGCTGCTATAGATGAAGTGGGACAGTGTACAAAAATAAAAATGTGTCCTTACTCTGAGTGGGCTTACATCTCCTAAAAGCTGACTCTCATTTGACCTGTTCTTTTGGCTATACTTTTCCACAGGTTGGTATGAAACTCATGGAGAACGTTCCGGAGTATGTAACTCTCTTTACATGGGATCATGCAAGTGACGTGCCACCTTCTGAAAGCCTTCATCGTTTGCTCCACTAGATGTCGCTGTTGTTCATACAATGCGCTGGTCAGGCTTCGTCTTCACCCAAAGTCATACAAGCACACAAAACAGAATTACAGAGCAGAACGTTACAATAAAGCAATGTTATGATTTAAAAAAAAAATAGTTTTATGTAGACATACACACTAAACGGCCTATTAATTATTTGCTGTATTCATTAATCGCTGTACTTAAAACTTCTCACAATATCTGTATTAAAATCTGATACTTCTTTCCTTTTACCTAGCTACATAATGTTGTAGTCTAGTCCATTCAAAGGCTAACCTAATAGGCAGCACAGCATTTGTTTGTGTTGTTTTATACATTTTGGAGGCCTGGGGTTAGAGACAGTTTTAGTTCTCATTTGGCCACACTAAACCGGCTTGGCAGGTTTTCATCGCACTATGGAGCGGGCTCTGTCTCTGTGTTTGCTGTGGGCTGTAAGCACACAGAGTTGTTGACAATAGATGCAGGTGGTTGGTTGTGGTTCAAGTGTCTCTCTTCCTCTAGGATGTAGCGCCTAGTGAGGCATTTCCAAAGGCGCTTCCAGACAATGTAGAAAAACTCCATCACGTTCAGAGCGATACAGAGAATCGATGTGCTACCCATAATGTAGAGGAAGATCTTTTTTTCAGTGGCTCTGCTTATGTAACAGTCCACTGTGTTGGGGCATGGGCTTTCACTGCAGCGGATCAAGATGGGTACATCAAAGCCATGATACACAAAGTAAAAGGCCAACAAGAATCCAACCTGCAAAGAAAAGAAATGTGGGCTTAACAATTTCGACCACAAACACGCCTATCTTAATTAGTAAAATAGACTGTAGGGTAGACTGGAAATTTGTGAACAATTAGCAGCATAATCTAACAAGTGGACAGAAAAAATGATAGTGAATATGGATACATATTAAAAGACATCTGAGGCCACATCCATTGCAAGGTCACATCAGTCCGGCACAATAACAAATGACACTGACACTGACATTGTTTTTTGTTTGCATAAGTGCTTGGTAATAGAGTTTACTCAGAGGCTGGTAATATATAACCTTTCGTAAATGAATCAGTGCAGGGACATTACTTTGACATTAATTTTTTGAAGAATGGTTCTAACTAACCTACACATCCATACCTTAACCCAATCTTTCAAACCATGTTGCCGATGTCTTAAGTACTAAATATTTTCAACATGTGTTCCAAACCTCTTACCATGGGATAAAAATACCTAAAGATCACTCGTGTCATCTTTAACATTTTAGGATTTTATAATAGGTCAACTTTGACAAGAAATTTAGTTTTTTTGTGAAGATTTTGAAAATGTTCTCTCTCTTCTTTTTTTCAGTAGCTCATGCAAAATTACTCTCTCCTATAACATGACATGATAGGCTTTATTAAAGGGCAGACAAAAGGCAAACATTGGAGCTGGTCTCAGACCTCAGAGGACACACATATGTGTAAATGAGGATGTGGACAAAGATGTACTATGGGGTCTATACATTCAAAGCTTTTAAAAATACTTAAGAATTAAAAAAAAAAAAATCAATTATAAAACAAACAGGAAGCCAATGTAAAGATGCAAGATTTGGGAAAGTGGTTGTTTCAAAACATTTTTGACATTTATGCTTTAAAAAAAATTTTTTTTTTTTGACAAAAAATATAAAAAAATACGTCTCACCTCAAAGGCTGTCTTGAAGAGCAGGCTGAGGGTGTAAGTACAGAACAAGCCCCCGTCAAGGCTGCTCTTATCAGTGTACAGTTTGCGCTTGTGACGGGCCTCACGGTGCTCTCTGTAGGCCACATGCAGTGCCACCAGCAGGGACGGGGTGGACACCATGATGAGTTGCAGAGCCCAGAGCCGCACTTGTGACACTGGGAAGGAACGGTCGAAGCAGGCATTCTCACAGCCTGGCTGACGAGTGTTGCATACAAAGTCTTTCTGCTCATCTTTCCAGACCTGTTCAGCTGCTGCCACATACACCAGGATTCGAAACAAGAAGACCACCGACAGCCAAATACGACCAATCACAGTGGAATACTTATTAACTCCACTCAAGATGTTCTCCAGGAAGCCCCAGTTCATCTTATCTGAATAAAAGCAAAGCCAACTGTTTGAGATGGTCAATTCAGAGCAGTTTCCTAATGCAATAAGCCTTATGACCCACTAAGAGGTGACCAAATGCAGCATGTTCAGTGAGTAGTAATATTTCCACAATGGAAGTAATTGACACCTGTCAATCAATAAATAGGCATCAAAAACAGTTCTGTGGCTGTCATAGGGGTTAAGAATCTTAATTTTGAGAATAAAGGCCATTTCCAAGCATCTTACATAGAGCACCCACAAAACAACAGTCCTGGGGTCTCATTTAGAAAATGTGAGAGCATACAATGTTAAATTTGTGATCTATAAAAGTTTGTGATCAATAAAAAAATACTTGATGTGGTCTCTGATATGTGGGTGTTGAGAGATGACGCAAAAGTGAGAAGTGAACCAGTTTGAGGAAGTTTGTGTTTTGTCCATACACATACTGTTTACTTTTAGTTAGAATTTCATGTAAAGTTTTAAAAATAAGACCCCTGGTCATTCTTCTGGTAAGCACACATATCTGATTGGATTCAATGACAAAACCCCTCAAGTAAATAGACTTCAAATGAATAGATGTGTAGTTCAAAATGCAGGCCTATAGATAGGCTCCTAAAATGATTTAGTTTAGATAAGAATTCTTACAAGCCAATCTATATGACATTTAAATATGAAGACCTTTTACTAGTTTAGGAATGTTCCGATGTCAGGAGAACACCTCTCCATCACCTCCAGCTACATATTTGTGGTAAGCAGCATTATGAAATATTAAATATGAGCTCTGTCATCCTCACAGACAACACACAACTAGCACATTTTTTGCCCACCAAACTCTGTACATAGCACTGTGTCACATGCAGCATAATATCTTCAGCCATTCATTATTTTTAATAAATTGCTGTACCTGTGTTTCCTGGGACGTCTCTCCTCCCGGTGCTTGGTTTATGCTGTTGAGTGCTCACAGGTGACGGAGTTGTGCTTCAGGGAACTGCTCCATGCCACGCCTTGTTCCCCACATTTAAATACCACTGGATTTGCCTGATGTCAAAACTCCATCCTGTGGGTTCAGAGCTTACAAATATTGTAGTTTTATTTATGGTGAATTATAAAAGCAAATATAATTTAGTCAATATAGTCAAGTTCAACTACAAATTACAAACAAAATATTTTTTCATTTATCTTTGTGGAGTTTCCTACTTAGGACAGATGTCTTTAAGGATAACCCATACATTCTATGGATAACCCTGGAGTTTGTGTTTGTGGCTATGACGTGGGTGTGTGCATGTTGTCATGGACACTACAAATGCAAATACACCACCCAAGTTGGTGCTGAGTTTACCTGAGCAAGAGGCAGTGTTACCATCCATCAATTATACATGCATCAGCTCAGCTCTCACTCTCAACAAACACAACTGAGCTTGACTAAAACTTTGTTGAAGGAAAGAGCTATCCCCACTCTGGTGATAAAAAGAAAAAATGCTAGTCTTTTAACCAAAGCCCTTCACCAAAACCCTAGAATTTATTTTAAAATTACACTTTAACTTGAGTGCTCTGGTTGTGTATTCATGTTTAAAATGATAATTCTATTATTTCAGGGACAAGCATTTTCCTTACAGACATTTAATGAATGGGAGTTGTCACTCTAATTCAAACATTGTCTGAGGTTTTTTTTTACATTTTGTTTACATTTCCACAGCTTAGATAAGTAAACTGTAAAATGACTGCAGTACCACCTCCCTACCATTTGAGGCGCTGTATTATTACGTCGGCCCATTCGTCCCACAACCTGTTCACCTTCCTATCGTGTCTATTTAACCAAAATATGGCGTCGACCTGCAGCCACATCTGTCTGTATTTTCTCTAGCATGCCAAAACCACCTGTAACTTGAGCACCACACGAAACAATGTCGGATCCGGAATCAGGGAAAGGAAATGCTACTTCAGGGAAAGAGTACAGGACCCCAGGACTAAGGGGCGCCAAGACCACCACTCTGTTCCGGGCGGTCAATCCCGAGCTCTTCATCAAACCCGTGAGAAAATACTTTCACTTTGTCTACTAGAAGCTACCATCTAAAGAATTAAATAAGGACTGAAAAATAATAAAAAATATATATATAAAAAAATAAATCTTCTTTGCAATCTCTAATAACACTTTGCTGTTAGATAAACGTGCACACAATAATTTAAAAACTGACTGTATAAATAACAATCCCAGTCCATTATTAATTAATTAATCTAACATAACCACCGACATTAGACTCGTCATCTCGACAGATAACGCTAAAATAACACGGTGAATGCCTCTGTCCGTGGTGCTGAAAAAACTCCCTCCCAAAGCCAGAGGAATACCAGCGTTTGTCTCAGAGGACATAAGAGCTGATCTGATGGTTGTACTTGTGACTTGTTTGTGTTTGGCAGAATAAGACTGTGATGGGGTTCGGTCTGCTCAGCATCACTCTGTGTGTGTGCTACCTGGGTTACATGCATGCCACTCAGGAGAACCAGCAACAGCTCTATGAAGCCATCGACAGCGAGGGGGGAGCGCTACATGCGGAGGAAGACTTCAAAATGGGACTGAACAGTTAAAACTTCTGAACAATGTCTAAACCACATGAAAACCAAAACAAAGTGACTGTTGACCACTACTGCTATCTGTAGCATGTTTTTATGATAAGAAATGTGGTACACTTAAAGGGTTAAAAAAAAAGACTAATTTAACTTATATTGACAATATAAATGATTGCATAAAATGGTTTATTACTGGTACATTATTCAGCTGTCTTTTCTTCAATTTATTTTATTTTCCTGGGGTATCAGACTACAAAATCTGACAAATTTGTGAAGTACACTATTTCATGTCCACCTGAGAAGCTTTGAGAAGCAGGTCAGAAGTAACTCTTCACTTGCTCTTCTCCTCCTATGGACAAAGTAAGACAAATGTATAAAGATTGAATTACATGATGGACCACTTCAACACAAAATGAAACACTGTAAATTAAATAATATACTTAATACAAAAAATATATTTATTTCTACCTTGATTATTCCAGCTAAATCTCTCAGTGCCTGTTCATAACGCTCCTCCAGACTTTTGAGAAGTTCTGGTTTCACAGTTTGTTTCTGGATCCCGGGACTGCCTGCCTCACTCACCATATGCAAGAAGTTTTTCTCCTGCACAAATTACACTATTCATAACTTATTTATTAGTACATTTGATTTTAGTGTTAGACATATCGAACCTGTACTTGAAGCAGGAAGGTGAAGGCCAGCCCGGCTCTGCCCGCTCTCGCTGTTCGTCCGATTCTGAACCAAAGGTTGGAGAATGTTAAAAACTGGACACACCACTACACAAAAAGAGATGGTGTGGAGGAACAGACCTGTGAATGTATGTGCGTACAAACTGTGGTGCGTCATAGTTTATCACACACTTCACTGCGCTGATGTCGATACCTCGTGCCGCAGCGTCTGTGCTCACAAGCCTTCAGGAAAATACACAATATTAATACAGAATATACAAGCATTGGGTAAATTTATAATAGTTCATATCATGTGCTCTAATGAAAAAAAGCCTAAGTTTGTGTGTATAAAAAAAAATATCAGCTGTGAGTACATAAACTGCAGATGCCAGTGCAGGGTAGTCTGGCCAGAATACAGCACATTTTCCTATACTTCAAACAACAATGTAGACTGTTACCAAATCTATGGTTATTTTAATACTTTTAGTGTGGTGTGTGCAGATATACTAACAGTTGGATCTTGCCCTGCTCAAACTCCTTCAGTGTCCTCCTTCGTTCCCCTGGACTTAGTCTGGAGGAGAACTCCATTGCCTGGATGCCCCCAAACAACTGTAGCAACAACACCAGTCTAAAAAAAAGTAAAATGTCATGAAATGTTTAGTGCACACTGTATTCAGTACAGACCGATGTTATGTGCATTCTCTGACCTGTGAGCTGCCTCTCTGGAGTTGGTGAAACACAGAACAGGGCTAAGCTTCATCCGAGTGACAAAGTGCAATAGAACCAAAGGCTTCTTACTCATCGTACATGGGACATAGTACTCCTAATGTATGCACAATACAAACAGAAGAGTGAGGGAACGTCTGGCCTATATTCTGTTCTTGCGTATGGGCTGAACACTTACTGTTAGCCCTTGGGGAAAGTTGAAGCGTTCCGGTGTTGGGGTAGGAGCTGAGGTGGGTTCCGACACTTGGTGGGCTGAAGTAAAGAGGCGCGGCTGGTACAGACCCATCTGTTGGAGCTTTTCTGGGTTGTGTGTAAGAGTTGCAGAGAAGAGCAGCTTTTGAAGTGGCATTTGAGAAGGAGAAAGACTAGAAACAGGACAGTGCGTTTTAGAAAACTTAACAACAGGTAGACAGCAGTTGACAGAGTTCAAGGAAACAGAATTAGCAGGTGGCTCACCTGGCAGCAGTGAGGTGTGCAGCCTCTGTCCTCCTGAAGAGACTGTTTGCTTCTGTTTTTGATACATAAACAGCTTTAACCACCTGACTGAGCCAGGACTGGTGCATACTGTCAATCATTCTGTCTGCTTCATCAATTATCTGTAAACAATACGATGTGATACTATACAATGTGACAATACAATTTAAGCTAAAAAAGATTTAGAAGAAAAATGTACAAGAAACCGCAGATGTTCTAGACAGAGGCTGGAGTTTTTGTTGATATGGTCAACAAGGCGCCCTGGAGTAGCCACAACGATATCTGCAAGACTACGCCTTTGATTCCCCCTGTAACAAAGACAAACTTTACAAAAATGTTCAAACAGAAAAGCATGTTTTTTCATATATTTATTTCTCTACTTTTAAGCAATACCAAGCAAAAAAAGAAACACAATCATACAATTAATACATGAATGAAGAGCGAGTTTAAGTTTTGAACAGTCAAAGTATATGAAAAAACAATGACATGTACCTGACTTCTGAAAGTGAAGCTTGCTCAGCTGCCAATGACTTGTGTCCTGTCACCATTGCCACCTTGAGTTGTGTGCCTTCTGCATATGTTGAAAACACTTTCCACACCTGTTGAGCCAGCTCTTTGGTAGGCAGTACAGCCAAAGCTCTCACCTCACAGACCACCCTCTGCATCAGCACCTGCTCAACACAATCGGAACTCAATCTGCCTTGACATTTCTCCCCTCTTTCTTTACAAATTGAACAATTTTTCTTTGCAAATTATACATAGTATAATGTTTGCCTGCTAAAAGTAAAAAAGACTTACCTGAATAACAGGGAGGACAAAAGTGAGTGTCTTGCCGCTGCCGGTGGGGGCTGACACACAGATGTCTCTGGGTCTATGGCCCCCAGGACCCACCAAAAATCCATGATGGGAACTCTCAAGTATAGCTGGAATAACCTCTGCCTGAACTAAGACATATAAATGTACAAATTTACATTGAGTCTTTTTTATGCATGGGTTGTGTGCATGGCTATGTATAAATACCTGGGAAAAGGTGCTGAATGTGATTGTTCTGGAGTTTCTTGAGCAGATGAGCACACAATAGTGGCACTTCAGAGAGTGGATGAAGATGGTCTTTAATGTTTTGATGAATAAGGTCAGGCTTAGCAAGCCACTGAGGCAACACTCTATTCACCTGTACACACATTAGGACCCAATGAACTGATACATGATAGACACAAACAATAATATGGTATAGCCAAACATATTATCATAACCTATAATATTTAGTAGGGAGAAATAGAAGCATCAGGACTTAACAATAATGTATACCCCTATTATCACCACTATCAAAAAATGTGAAGGGTTTTCCAGAATTGTAGTATTAAATACTATCCACCACGGCCAACCATTAAATACCTTTTGTATGTTTTTATTGGAAAATCCTCCAAGAACAGGGAATCCCACACCAACAGGCTTCTCAGGAGTTTGTGGGGATTCTATGACTTGGTCTTTCCTAATGTCCTCACCCCCAGTAGATGGAGTTTGTACATCTGAAACACAACAACTTTGAAAGACAAAGCAGCTTGCTTACAGCCGCCACATGTAAACAAAAGTTCAACTCACCACTGTGATGTCCTACTGCGCTCTTTTTCTTCTTTTTCCGGATTACATCTTCATCCTGGTCAGACTCTTTCACACTGTCACTACTACCAACTTCTTTATTTTTTCTTTTCTTTTTGGGTTTTATAGGTGTGCTGTTTTCTTCTGGTGGTATGGGTTCAGAGCCACACTGCTTCTGTCGCTCTTTTGCCTTCTCCTTAAGTTTTGCCAATAAAGTCTGTGATCGACTGACTTTACTGTCGTTATCATCTTCCTCGCCAAGATATCTGGAATAAGCAATGTATATTTATGCAGGACATGGTTACTCTGAATAACAAGAGCGTGAAAAGATCTTACCTGTTTACAAGAAACAACGACATTATTAGCTAAGTATTTTATGTAATGTTGCCGCGTGTATTTTTGCCTATACTGTAAAAAAATAACACAACATGCTAATAATCAACAAAAACACGTTTCACTGTATAAACGCAGCTTGATGACGTCAACTTCATTCGCCGAAAATAAATCGTGGATAAATAAATAAATAAAATGGTTAACAATGACTTTTAAAATATTTTACAAAGGCAGATGTTCTGTATTTAAATTGAGAAAAAAAAATTACAATTAACTGGAGTTATATTCAAATGTAAGAACTCAAACGAAGTAGTTAGCTATCTTAAATTAAAAATTCACAACTATATTCTGCATTGACAGAATATATATGTGTATGTATATGTATATATATAGTCAAAAAAGTGTGTCACATTATTTTTTTTTATACACCATTACAAAATGTACACACCCACAGCTCACGTATGGGTTTTTCTCCTGGCGTAGTGACGTAGTTTCAACATTCTGCGCGGGAGCTCTGGATCAGGTCTCAACAAGACCCGAGGTATACCAAGTTATAAACGTTTTAATTAGCTTACTAACTCGGTATTTTTTGTCTTATCTAGATTAATACTTTGTACGGGCACACAGATTCCTACATTTGTTGTTTGCTTTCTTCGTGTATATCCCTATCATGTTATTGAATTGATCTACTGCTGTTAGCTAACAGCCGTGCAAGACTTTGCCTTTTTGTCATCCCTCATCAGGGTAAAACTCGCTCTGTTTTTTATTGAAATACTGTGTACATGTCGTGGACAAGGCAATGCACGTTTCTTATGTGAAGCTGAAGTGAAAACAGGAGAGTTGTGTTTTGATCTGAGAATAAAGCAAGAGAAGTCATACACTGTCATGGACACTGTGCTTTTGAAGGTTCTCTCGTGAGGTATGGCTATGAGGAGTGACGCCCGAGTGGAAGCAGAGGTGGAAGAGGAGGAGAACTTTGGCCCACAACCTCTGGTCAGACTGGAGGTAAGTAACCCACAATCAGTCAGCACGCGCAGTCTGAAATGGTGCAAGTTTCCCAGTAACTTCTAAACTTGTAGATGAAATGCATCTTGACATGCATGAAAGAGACAATCTAAATGAACTGCATTTGTTTTCCACTTTTCTTTACTTGCACTGATCATAATAGTTTAAGGCTGTATTGTAAGATTGGTAAAGAATACAATAAATATTATGCATTGACATTCTTTATTTACTTTTTTTGCTTCAGCAATGTGGGATCAGTGCCAGTGACATCAAGAAACTAGAGGATGCCGGCTTCCACACCATTGAGGCCGTTGCCTATGCCCCAAAGAAAGAGCTGCTCAACATCAAGGGCATCAGCGAGGCCAAGGCTGACAAAATTCTAGTAAGAGAGAATGCATGTGATGAAAGAATGTGGATATATTCTGATAAAATATGTAGTTTATGTTAATGTTTTTTTTAATTTGTTTTTTTTACTTTTCAGACAGAAGCAGCCAAACTAGTGCCAATGGGTTTTACCACTGCTACTGAATTCCACCAACGACGAGCAGAGATCATTCAGATTTCCACTGGCTCCAAGGAGCTGGACAAGTTGCTACAAGGTTAGTTCGAGAGGAGGTATTGCACAAAACTATCAAGGCCTGTGATAGTCCATTTACCCCCTCACTGTGAAAACATGGTAGGCTATAAAGGATATATTTGTAGGGTATTATTCTAAACACTAAAATATGTGCATAGCATCAGAAGAATGCTATGCACTGCTGTTCTTTTTACTGTACTAACTTGCATCTGTCTTTCTCTTTTCATCAGAAATGTGTATCTCATTTTGTGACGTTTTCTCCCATAGGTGGCATTGAGACGGGTTCTATCACTGAGATGTTTGGGGAATTTCGCACAGGCAAAACTCAGCTTTGTCACACTCTTGCTGTAACTTGCCAGGTAGAAAATATCTAGAAAAACATTTTAACATTGAAATATGGGAAGATCAGGCCCAAAGCTTATCTATGTATTCTCAGCTACCTATTGACCAAGGTGGAGGAGAGGGTAAAGCCATGTATATTGACACTGAGGGTACCTTCAGACCAGAGAGGCTGCTTGCTGTTGCTGAGAGGTAGGTCAATATTCTCAATGGGAGATTGTAAGGTCGTCACTCACATTTTATTTGAAACCTATTTTAGATTTTATGTTGAAAAGGACCTTTTAAACCTTTTCATTTGAGCAGGTATGGGCTGGTTGGCAGTGATGTTTTGGATAATGTGGCCTATGCTCGAGCCTTTAACACAGACCACCAGACACAGCTGCTCTATCAGGCCTCTGCTATGATGGCAGAGTCAAGGTGAGTATCTGCCTTGATATGATTTTTGCTTGGAGGACTGATGATGGGTTTACTATTCATTCCATGATAAGATAGTGATGTGTATGTCTCACCTGTGCTTCAGGTATGCTCTGCTGATTGTGGACAGTGCCACTGCTCTGTACAGAACAGATTACTCTGGCCGTGGTGAGCTGTCGGCAAGACAGGGACATTTGGGTCGCTTTTTGCGCATGCTGTTGCGTTTAGCAGATGAGGTAAGGCTCATATGGCACATTAGGCACAAATCTGAACTCAACGGCTCAATCTGTCAAATGAAAGCACTTGAATCTTTGAGTATCACCCAGTAAACCTCTACATTACAATTTAATGGTTAATTCTAAGATCTACTGTGTTATGTTCATACACAATAAGACATTCAGGTCATAACAATGTCTTAAATTGCTTTGTTCTCATAGTTTGGTGTTGCCGTGGTCATAACCAATCAGGTGGTTGCCCAAGTGGATGGTGCTGCCATGTTCTCTGCAGATCCCAAAAAACCTATTGGTGGAAATATTCTTGCTCATGCCTCCACCACTCGGTGAGCAGTTTGAACTTTTCTATGGGAGGGAAAAACTGGTGGTGTGCTATTATCATGGTACGTGTTACTTATAATACAGTCTGATTAAACTACATTATTCATCTAGGTCTAAGCATAATTGTCATTACCTAAATGTATTTAAATATGATTCCTCTTTATAAAGTCTCAGCGCTCTTATGTGCACTCAAGGGGCTCTACCACCTACTCATTTGACTCACAACAGCAGGATTCTAAGTTTCTGGGTCAACCAGTCATCTTCATATCTTATTCTGAAATTTAATCTGGTATGGAGCAGGTTCCAGGGTCAGCCTCAAAGTTATCTTTACACACCTAGATTTAATACAGGCGTCTGACGTGCTTAAGAGTGCACTGTGGTCCTAAAATGCATTGAGCTAATGTTGACCTATCTCATGTTTTTAGCCTTTATCTAAGAAAAGGTCGTGGAGAGACCAGAATTTGTAAAATCTACGATTCCCCTTGTCTACCGGAGGCTGAAGCGATGTTTGCCATTAATGCTGATGGAGTGGGAGACGCTAAGGATTAACAGTACACTGAGACATTCTCTTGACCCATCCTGTGAGTGCATTGTGGAGATGCCGAGAGCATCTTAATGGACTACTGAACGCAGCCCCACCTCCCAAAAAAAAAAAACAAGCAGCACTTTTGGCTGTTGTTTAATTTACACCTCTTTGTTTGTAAATGTCTCTAGTATCAACATGTTTGTGTGAGGTTAACTGTATAAGAATTGGTGCATGACGTATCATTGCATATGATTTGCGTAATCTAGCTAAATAATTTCTTTTCAAAACTGTACCAATTTTCCATCTAAGTTGTTTGAGTGCTTAGACTTGCTGTTGTCTTTCAGCATGTGTGAAAGAAATGCCTCCAGACTTAACTGCATTGTTTATTAATCTGTACAGTATGTTATAAATGACATGTTTTATCAATAACTATCTTGTTGGTCCGCTTCTATTTTTATTCAGGTAGAGTGACACTAAGCAGTGCAGCATGATTTATACAACCATGTGTCATGATTAACAAGCAGCATTTATCACTTTGACTTTTTTCTTATAATCTTCCACACCTAAGACAATGCTTACATAATCAACAATATTGGAATAAATAATTTTAGACTTTGGGTGAAACGGTACAAAAAGCCAAGGAATACATTGCTTAAATACAAGTCAATAAAGAAGTCTGTTAAATACCATAAATCTTTTGACATCAAAACACTTTGTACACAGTGGCTACATTTTTTTGAAAGTGAAGACTTTAGTCCTTCATAGATTTTGTGGAATTCTCAAAGTGAGATTCCACAATTTTTGAGGTCTCCTCATCCTGAAAGGTATAAAAAGATCATAAACCATCCAAAGTGATAATTTGCCATCTTAGTGACTCACCTGAAGGGTGGTGGGAGAGATTTTCTTTGCCAGGTCCATCCATTTTGATGCCTCTGAGACGTTCCCTAGCTCCTGATGGCACTAGGAAGACAAGGCCAGTCAGGATGGTAAATATACTCAAGGTGTGCAGACTAATAATAAGGGGTTACCTTGGCTATGTAGAATCTGGCAGTCTTTGAAAATCCTGGACTTAGTTGCTCTGCCTGTTAAACAAGTACAAATATGAGGGCAGAGCAGGGGGCTACCAGTAGCTCTTCCACCTCATTCCAAGCAGCTCCCCAAAAGATTTTGGAATTAAACATGTCATATTTGATTTCAGTCCATTATTTGTAAATGATGCTTATATTTGTGCACAAAATAGATAATGGTTAATGTTGTATTCGCTATACCACATCTAAGCCATCACTACTGACTCAACTTCTTGAGAACTAAACTAACAAGAGTTCCATGTTAGAGGCTCCTGAGTATCACCACTGTCAAAATGAGAAAGGAATAATTGAACAATACAGCTGAGTAGTACCTTCAGAAAGTTGTCAAGAGCCTGCTGCAGAGTGGAGCTGGGGGGGCTTTGATACAGGGCAGCTGCTGCCTTCTTTTCCAGCCAGTCCAGAGATGCAACCTGCCATAGTCATGTGGTATAAATTATTGTATTATTCTGTGTTTGTTTTTAAAAACAACTTAATCACATTTTATGAATTCACGTAGAATGCCTGACCTGATAGCACCACTTGGCAAGCAGGTAGAAGCAGACAGGGTCGGTGTTGTTGAGAGCTAGGGCCCGGTCCAGATGCTCCTGAGAGACACCAATGTCATTGTCACACTACAGTTAATGATTTACACTGGATCAGTGGGGGCTTGATACCTTCATGATGCGACTGCTCCTTAGTTTACTGTGCATGCTCCCATGGTCTGTTGTCAAGTCTGTCAACATAGCAAACCTAACCACAAAACAGAACTATTCCAAATCTGAGTTCACAACATGGAGCTTAAATTGTTTAGTCTCTCACCATTTATGGCAATCTTTGTTTAATCCATTCTTTTGTAGGGCAAGCTCTGCTTCCTCCAAACCTGTACAAAAAAACATTATTAACTGACAAACCAGCACAGTAGAAGCCCATATGTTTATAGTTATGGCCATTCCCATTGTGAATTAATCTCTGAATCTCTTGCCACCTCAAGAACTACTGAACCATTTTAAAACAGCGGCCAAGGACTGACACGAAGCCAACACAAAGCTCTACCTATAATAGAGAATAGAACCATCTATTAGTTGTCTGCTAAAATGGTATATGATCAGAATACATGGGCAGGGCAGAATTAAAATAAGGTCTTGTAGCAAAGGTTACATAATCTGAAGCAGATTTTGAATCATTTGCTTGTAAAAAAAACATGCCTGTGTTGTGTAGTGGGCTCATACATAACATCACTAAATTTTATTTGCTTTGTAATCTTGTGGTTTGTTTCAATGTTTTATTTTCACAAATTAGTTTCAGTAACAACAAATAATAGCACACTCAGATTTCAACTCCTGTGTGGGACTCACCCTGCTGTGCTAAGGCCCTTCTGCTCTGTGGGTCTGCTGTACACCAGTACATGTCACTGTGAGCTCGAGCCAGGCGCCACACAAACTCACGATTGTCTTCATACTGAACACAAAGATGTACATTCCCATGATAACACACTGCATACAAACACTGATTGCTGGCATTTCATATCAGAATCTTTTTTTACATAATTGTGTTCAATCTCTATGGCAGCTACCCTGGTCCAGAACAAACTTAAAGTGTAACAAAGCCTTTTTCCTACTAGTGCCACTTTTTGTGTCTGTCAGGCTTCAATAAGTCTAAAACCAAGGGTCGTCAGAATTCAATCAATTGTTCCTAAATCCTGTTTTATTAGCATCTCAACCAATGTCCAAAATCCTTTTAAATATTAAACAGTAAGCAGACTAGAACAACCCATATAATAGCAAGACTGCTCACCTCTGCCCTGTTGTCTTGCAGCAATTTGTAGCCCTCCTCCTTTAGTCTTGAGTCTCCTGTGTGCAGAATGTCGCTCTGAGCCAGTAGCAGAGCCAGCTCTCCACTAGGAGTTTCTGTCAGTAGCTGTAGGCCCCTCACCCCGGTCCCCCCAGCATCTTGCCCTACAGCGTCTGTGTCCTCTTCCGGGTCCTCATCTTGGGAGTCGTCCTGTTTCAGAGTGATGACGGTGGCACAGCTCTGGTCTTCACCCTCTGACTCTGGATCTGGGTCTGCACCCTGTTCAGGCTCCTCTCGATCAGTGTCCCGGTCTGTGTAGTCTGACTCAGCATTTGCAGTGGAGTACCTGTGAGAGTGGAGATAGTAGAATATTAATAATTTGTGTCTGTTTTTTTTCAGCTATGATCTATCTTAAATCTTATGTTAAATAAATGTTGTCATCTTTTTAGTTCTACTAAATTAAAAATAAAATCCTTCACAAAGTATAGGTCTGCAAGCTTCATGTTTCCAATATAATCATGTTGCTAATCAGCCATTTCAACCTGTTTCACACTCCTCACCCTTCCCACCAGTTGGAAAAAGACACCCCAGAGTAGTCACAGAACCAGCGCCCAAAAGATATTTTTTAAAAGCAGAAAATGGAATTAGGAACTTGAATTCTATTAATCTCATAGTAAATCCAAAATCCAGGTGTACTTTTCCTTTTTCAAACAGGGCGTTTTATTGCTATAGTTCTCTATTTTTGTGTCTTGCACAGACCCATTTCTCTGAGCATTATGGTTCGGAGATTAGTTAGAAGGCACAACAGATACACTCATGTAGTCAAAAGAAAATGTATGAAAGCATTGTACTACTATTGCAACATCACTGTTTTATATCACACCCCCAGAGCTGCCCATACTGTACCCCATACACCCCGCACACTGTTCATACTGTACATACCCCCCCTCACTCGTCTCGTAGGTGCTAGTCGGGCCCTGACTGGCGGTGAAGTAAACAGAGCTGGAGGTAGTGGAGTCTGTGCGCTCTCGGGGAATGTAATGCCGACGGCGGCGAATGCGTTGGCTGTCCTCCACTCCCTTCCTGCAGACAGCAACAAATATGGTAAGGAAATAAGTACTGTTTGAACTATAAAGCAAGGTAAAGACATGCATTACATGGTTTAAGGAAACGAAAGCCAAATATGTTTAATTCAGATGTTAATGGAAGCTGTGATGTGCAGCCATCTTACATTACACAAACTTGAGGCAAATGAATAGTTAGCACTCAAACATAGGTCTCACTTGACATCCTGAATAATCTGCAAAGCGATGTCTTGGAGACCCCCTCTCAACTCAGCCACTTCTGAGCGCAGGGAGGTGACACAGCTCAGGACCTGGTCCAGTTGCTGTCGTAGCACCACCTGCTGGTCAGGAGACAAGCCCTGGACCACAGCCTCCACAGCAGCTAGAGCCTGCTGCTGTGCCTCCACCTCTGCAACACACACAGACACTGTGTTATGCTGTTTTCAGTATCACTCAGTGTTGCCATGATAGTGTTAGATTAGGTCAGTAGCTCTATATGTGGTAAATTCAAAGTTTTAACAAAAGTAACAAATCTACTGGACAAGAGAGAGTGAACGACTAGTAGTGAGGGCGTTGGCACTGAAAAGCCCCCACATTAGTCAGCCTCATGTGCATGTCCATGTAGTAAAGTTAAGGAATAATGCAATGTGAAGCGACAGTCAAAAAGTGTTGGGCAAGACCTATATTTTTATTACTACTGCTGCTATTAGGTAAGGATAAACTGCAGAAGACAAATTTCCACATGGAAACAGTAAAGTGTATAGCTACTTACAACCTTTACAATACATGCAAAATGTCATAATAGTTTTGAGTAGCTCCACAAATTAATCTAAAAACAGCAGGCCTAAATAAAAATCTAACTAGGCTTGCCTATACCCAGACTACAAAATTAAGAAAGGGCTACGTATAACATAATTTTGGTTATAAAATGTTTAACACTGTAAAGAGACATTGTGATATTATGTTGTTGATAAATTCACCCTGCTCATCCAGAGCGTTTCTCAGCAGCAGCGCAGCTCCATCACCGCTGTCCGTGGGTTGTGGGGGGACAGTCTGAGCTGCCACGGCCAGCGCCGGAGACCTCCTCCTCATCTCCCGATAAATGATGAAAGCTATCACGCCCAAACCAGCGGTAGCTCCCACTATGAGTCCTATAAGTCCATTTCTCCCGAGCGAAGGGTTCATGTCTTCAGCCACTGAACGCAGCCCACCTGTCTGTCACGCCGTTCCCACGACTCTGTTCCCCACGTACGGTCCCATTTACCACAATCACGTCTGATTGTAATGGCTGACAATGTAACTGAGGAACAAAATCGTTTGTTTTCTTTCCAATGACCTAAGCTCAGTGCATGTAATAGTTCAGCGCATCATTAGCTCTTGATGCTACATAGAGCGGCTGTCAAACGACGACTTCCGGTGGTCTTTCCCCAAACCGGAACATTTCGTAAAACGTCTGCTGGTTTATCAAAAACCTCAGATGCCCTGTGCAGGGTGCCCCGGAGTGTCTTATCACGACGTACTGGCGCACACACACGACACATGCGGATAGCAAAGAGGATCACTCCATAGTCGCCGTGTCGGTCACACACAGATCTATCACAGGGTGTTACACATGGACCTCACACAGACAGAGAAGCGCGTAGTAAAACCCTCCGCTGTGAGAAAGTGAGAAAAGGCTAGGCTTACATAATCCTTTCAAAATAAAAATCATTTTAAGGTGAAGAAGAAACCCTCCATTCAATATACAGACCATTAAAAAAAATTTGAATATCATGGGAAAGTTCTCCATTCACTCCTTTTTCAAACACAAGTAAAATCTGCGTGACATTTGTTTTTGTTTATTGTTAAAGAAAATAAATATTTACTTTCTGCATTATAGCTTTGTATTTACGTTTTCTATGAGTGTCTTACCTGCTGTGGAAAAAAAAAAAAGAACTGGACTGCCCAAAGCGTAGTCAGTTTTGCATATCTTAAATCAAGGTCCCAGAGTCTGGAGGAAGAGTGGGCAAGTACAGAATCCATGTTATTCAGGGCGAAGTTTCCACAGTCAGTAATATTTGGGCTGCCACGTCATCTGCTGATGTAGGTCCATTGCGTTTTCTGAAGTCCCCAGTCAACGCCGTCACCTACCAGGCCACATTATAGCACTTTATGCTTCCTTGGACTTGGCACTTGACCTGAAGTGACGTGACCTGAACCCCATAGAAGATCTCTGATTTATTGTCACAAGGAAGATGAGAGACACCAGACCCGACAATGCAGATGACCTGAAGGTGGCTATCAAAGCAACTTGGGCTTCTATTCGACCTGAGCAGTGCCATAGGATGATCAGCTCCATGCCACAGCCCACTGATGCAGTAATTCATGCCAAAGGAGGCCTAACCATGTACTGAGTGCACAGAAATTAACATGCTTTTCAGAAGCCTTATATTTCTATTCCTTTCTGAGACACTGAATTTTGGGCTTTTATTATTTGTAAGGCATAATCCTCTAAATTTCAAAAAATAAATGCTTGAAACCTTCGCTCTATGTGTCATGAGTCTATAAAATATATGAATAAAATATTAAAAATTCTGAAATGAGAAACTTTTTCATGATATTCTTATTCTGTGTTATTTTATCTTAAGGCCTAGTTCTTAGGCCTATCAGCAACAACAGCACCATACCAACACAATTTTCATCAACAACATTTATGAAATAAATAAATTGCCTAATTTTTATGCAAATACACCTAGGCCAGAGAAAAGAATAGCCTATTCATCAGTAAACAGAACCAATGCTGATCTAAAATAGCTTAATGACCTTGAGTCTAAGTAGTTAGCAGGTATGGGGGGTATAGATGAAAACAGAAATTCTCTGATTAATAAAGCCTGAAATGCAGGACAAAGAAGCATATCAACTTCATTTATACTGTACAGTCATACTCCTTATTTTAATGTATGTTGCATAGCGTTGCATTTAAGTTTGAGTTTATTTAAGTTAAGTTCATCTTGATTTTTGAGTGCATATCAATTCTCTTTCTGTTTTACATTGACACCATTCTCCTTGTCTACTGTCCATTGGCTTCTCTCCAACACTGCACTCTCCAGGTTCCTCTTTTCCGACCATCACATCTCCAACTCTTGCACCACTCTGTCCCCATTGGTATTCAGTCCCTTCATCTTCATCATTTACATGCTATCCCCTTGGCCACATCATTCATCACCATGGACTGCAGTCCCTCAATGATACATGCACACATGATATGATACATGCACACATCTCCACCACATCTGTCACTCCAGACTTTCCACCATCACAAACTGTCAGACAAAACTTCTCATCATTGGACCCCAATCTGGCAAGTGTGAAGCTTATTCTGCTGTCTGATTGTTTAAGTTGTTTACTTTTATTTCACTGAAATTATACAACTTTATTTGCGTTCGCTAATGCGGTACACTGAGAGTAGGTGGGGGCTTGAAATCCTCAAGTTACCATCACGCGTTTGTCTTTTGTTTTTTGTTTTTTTTGTGATGAAGTATTTTATTGAAGTGCAATGACAAATACTATACACCCTCTGTTAATTTTTAAGAGGCGGCACTCACAAAAATAAGCAGACAAGAGCAAAAGAAAAAGCTAAAACATCAGCAGCAGCAAAGAGGGTGCCATAGTGGCAACGGCTGGCTAGAGTTGGGTCCCTAATTAGGGACAGGGCCAAAGGGCGGAGCCGAGAGGTCCACTTCATGGACAGTAGGGGAAAACAAACAACCCCACTTCACTAAACTATATTGGCTAATGTAGTGACTTAGATAGCCTAATCAATATCCAGCTTAATTTCTACACCTAGCGTCTAAAACAGTAAAAAGCTTTTGGGTCAGATACAGTTGTCTTCATGTGTTGTGCCTGTCGTGTGTGATGTTCAGGTCATTAGTGCACTGTGCAGAGGTGTGTGTCGAAACTATAGACCCACATTATCGAGGGATATGCTGTCTGACAGGTCCTTCAACACACGGGCCTACAGGCACTTCCTGTTCAACCCGATCTTTCACTGTCTTATTGCCAAAGAAATTAAATTAAGGTAGAAAAGTACATGTTTTAAATCTAAATGTAAGCCTATAGGCCTATTTGTAGGCTATGGCCCCATGTCCGTTATAATTAGGCTTGGCCTATGTGTAGATTGAAAGCCAGTTAGGCCTATATATCCTTTTGGTATAAGGATATGTCCGATTTTTATTTATTTATTTATTTGTTTTTTTCGTGGTCAGTGAACAAAATTTACAGATTAGGAAATTGTTTCAGAAGTATGATGCAATATAAAACAATGAACAATATAAAGTCTAAGAGCCTTTATAAAAATGTTAGCTTTTCCAATCATCTTTTAATAAGGGCTTTTGTGTTTTGTTTGGCTTTGTGCTGGTTGACCACAGAGTGTATATACAGTTTATGCTCATGGTGCACTACAGCCACTTCTTATAATTTAATGAGACCCTGACACATTCCAGGCAAAACATCTTGGAGAGTGCCAGGTTGGGGGCCTTCTCTTCCATCAAAAAGTTACACAGTGCACCTTTGGCTCATTTCTACTTTCTACGCCCCCTGAAGTTCGAATCCCCGCCCATCGGAGCTGATAAGCGGACAGTGCAGCCGCGGCCCCTCAGTTCTCATGGTGCTCAGGAGACGTTCCTGGTGAAAGATGGCGGAAAGAGGAGATGGTACGGAGCGGCGTAATGTTCGACTTCTGGACTTGTCTACTTTTTAATATAACTGTACCGCTGTCATACAAGCGCGTAATCTAAGAGTCCGACAAAGTTTTCTGGAAATGATCGGCAGCTGAAATCGACAATGAGCCAACGCGTTGGAGGTGAGACAAGTGCACCGGAGCCGCTCAACTGTGGGGTCCTGTACTTTCTCCAGAGCCTATCTCCGGCTCTTTCTTAGTATCAAATTTCTGTACTTTGAATTCAATGTGGTCGGGAGCTGTGATAATCAAGAAGGGGTGTATAACATTCTTAAAAATGTTCCCACTCATAGTTGTGGTTGTGTTTCAGGCGTGTGGACCCAGCCGCAGTCCAACGAGCCCTCCCCGATCTTTCCCGCTGATCACGTCCTGTTTTCCGGAGCTGTTTTATTCCCCGGTACGACCTTCTCCAGCAGTTTTATAACTTCGGTTAATCCTGTTGAGGTCGATGCAGAGTAGACTGATGTCGCATGATGCATGCACGAATAATGTTCTTAATCGTTTGTGTGAACGTGTCACTTGATGGGCCCCATGCGCAGAATGACAGCCATGTCTATCTGAGGACTTGTGGCTACAGCTTTTGTTTTATACAAATGAACTTCATCATAAAGGACCATAATGTTGAGGCATACAGTGTATGAATTCTAAGTGAATTTCTTGTGTTATCTCTAACCATATCTTTTTAAATTCTGTTAGGGGCTTTCGATCAGCTGGGCTGTCCTCTGGTAATATTCCCAGTAGCTGGACAGACTCCGCTCTCTGCAGCACTCAGTAAGGCAGAGGTGGTGGACTTCATCAGCTACTGCCTTTCACAGCACAAGTAAGTGACTGGCAGTAGTAGTGTCTGTAGGGTTTCCAGATGTTCTGTGAGTTCAATTTATTTGTATGCTGACAGTAAAACACAGAAGAGTAGTTTGGTGTCAGTCGTGGCAGATCTCAGAGAAGCATCTGCTGCTTCGACGCGGTTCATTGCAGAGACGCTGCTCCTGCTTGAGGTAGTGTGGAAGTTTTGGTTTGTTTGTATTTATTTACCAGGTTTAATGGCTACGATGACAGACCTAAGCACAGAAAGTGCTGTTACTTTGAAATGTATGCACTTTTTTTCTACTGATTATAACATAAATGCATGGGTGAACCATGTAGACATTTGAAATTCAGACACAGATTTGAAACAGCATTTTCATTTGTGTTTGGGGAAATATGCTGATGGTGTGGTTTGAGTGGATTGTAGAGGTGGGTGTGGGGACCATCTGATTCCAGTGGCTTACTGTGTTTGCCAAAAGGGAAGGCTTCTGTGTATGCACTGCAGAATGTATCTTCTCCTTGTGCAGTACAGTGCACAATTGTGTGTGTTTTTTTTTTTTTTTTTCCCCTGAAGAAAAATATTTTCTTGCATAACCGTTAATTTCATAAAATAGTCTGACTGTGTTCAGAATGGTTATGGGGGTCATAAGAATTGCACATCAGATGGTTTATAAGCTGAAAACATACTCACATTAAAATGACAATATTTTACTGCTACCATGTAGCACTACAGTCAACCAAAGACATGCCCTGAGCATCAAGTGACTATATGGAGGCATGCCACCAGAAGAATTTAACAAAATTATTAGGATATTAGGATCTTGTGCAAAACTACTATGTAAACCTGGAAGAATTAATAAACAACAACTTTAATGATGAAAAGGCTGAGTGACTAACTCATCCCATGCATTGTCCTTTTTGCTGTAGTCCATATAGTGATTTTTGACTACAGCCCTGCCACCAAAAGAAATGCATGAATAATAAATGCATGTATTATAAAATTAAACCCAGCCAACTGGAAGTGGCAGATGAACTTGTGTAATGAGTAATTTTGACAACTATCTATTGAAGTATAATTGTATTGTATTACACTGTAGCATCTTAATATCAGATCTATAGGATTAAAAAGTTAAATGCTTTTTTTCTCCAACACTGATACAAAAGTTTGTAGTATTGTTTCATAAATGTTCTAATATTTGATGATCTGTTGAATTCTTGTTCCAGGAACAGAAAAGAACAGTCCACACTGCATATATAGTTCAGCCAAAGAGAAAAGATGTGCTTCGGATGTTGGGCAAACTGTGGAGCCCGTCCAAATCACAGCCTGCTACTTTTAATGTAAATTCAATCATTTAAAATTTTAAATGTTAAATCTTAGTGAATGGTAAAGATTATTTTGTGATTTCCAGAAAGTTCTTCTCAAAGAGGTCTTTGAACTGTCAAATTACATCGACAGAAGTCAGTTGATGGCCTCGTTGGGAGGATACCTTGTTTACTGTCACCAGAGCTGGGCGGTCTTCACCAAGGTCACTTTTTCTAAATATTTTCCTTTAACTGGTATTTAGTTTAATGGTGAGCCCCTGGGATTGACCTTCTTGGTTACAGTTGAATTTTAAATCTATTTTCTCAATATCGTGAGTGTAGTTTTGACCATCCATAGACTAATGCTAGTCTGTGCTCAGCCTCTTCCCTTCCTACCCTGCTTTGGCACAATACCACACACATCCTCTCCCTGTGTAAATTAAGAGCCATTTTCACTGTCCCTCTGACCCCTTTGTCCACCAGGCTCATGTATGCACTCACTCAAAGACTGTATTTGTGATTGTTGTATCATCCGTTTCCTTGGTGAGGCTGACCTTATTAGCGACTGAAAAGGGCCTTTCTGTCTGTGAGATTATACATTCAGTTACTGGTTCACGCTGCCACTACTCATTAACATACTATGGCTTCACAAAGCTGTTGGCCTGCCACATTGTAAATGTGAGTCTTTAAAAGAATTTCCTCATGCATTGCACACATACCATTGTTGGCTATAAAGAACTGACAGATCAGAGTGTTGCATTAATTAATTGTGAAGATTTTTAAATATGGCCATTACTGAATTTACATTCCTGTTTTCTTTCAGTAGATTCAGCCACCCTGATTTTTGTCTTTTTAGTCAAATTGTGTCTAAAGGTATATAGTCATCTCTATAACTCGTATAACATTAGTTATGTTAATTTTCCTATCTGATTTGTAATACTCTAATGACTACAGTCAAAACACTTCAAACAATGTTTACATTTCAATAATCAGACAATTGGATTGTTCTTATACCACTTTCTTGCATTTGAGACCTTAATGCAGCCAATGTAGTACCAATACCACTGTAAAATATGATTACTGTACGTCATCGTTGTCCACCACTGGTCATCACTGCCATTTCCATCAGGCTCAATAAACAATGTATCTCGTGCATATTCACAAGCAGGTATATCAGACCCGTGCAAATCCAGCTGGATGTTGGTGGTTCCAAACTGCCTAATTTTTCACTGTTGCCTGGAACTTGAATTTAATCTTTGATTAATTTTGTTCTACTCATCTAACCATCTTTGCTGTAACTGCTGGGTTTATTCTTGGTTGTGCAGGAGATGGATGCATTTGAGGAGCACTTTGGTTCAGTTGTGAAGCGGTTGCCAGGGTGTCTCTCCTCTGTCCAGGCCTTGTCTACACGGCCTCTGCCCAACTCTGTCCCTGAGCTCCAGCTCTTCTGCTCTTCCATTGAGACTCACTTTCAACAGCTCCAGAGGTCAGGCTCCTTTCCTTTTCACTTCTGGGTGATTAGCCACTGAACTCATTTTTTGTGTTTTTAAAACCACAGGAAGATTTTGCAATTTTAGAATCTTTCTGTGTATATTTGCTGTGTAACACTGCAGAGAGTTGTCCACTTGTCCCTTGATTAACACTACAGTTGTAAATAAATATGGAATATATAGATATTTAATCATTATTTTCACAAAACATCTGACAAAGTGACTGTGTGGTTCTTTGTGTGCAGGGAGCTGGGCCTTGATGATCTACTTAAACACTGCAAACTTCTGGTGGAGAAACTAAGATCGCCTGATCTTGACCCCCACTTTCAGGCCATGGCAGGCACTGCACTTTTCACCCTACACTTCTCCAGCATGCTACAGTACCACCGCAGGTACAGACAAGAGTCCGCACCTTTGGTACATTTTACAATCTTGCTCATCGCAAAGGTCCAGTCCTTTCTTGGTTCTGTTGGCCTGACAACTCTCAATGTCAACATGCAATATTGAGATTGACAGCATATTAAGATGAATATTTCAAATCTTATTGTGGTTAGAATGTGGGTCATAATCTTTTTAAAATCTTTATTCATCCAAGTAGTTTAAGATAATGTTCTTAAAACTAATGTTTCAAATGTTGTTGCTAATTAGCAAAATAAAATATGTGATGGGTCACAGTCCCGGTTTCTAATATACTTTTTTAATAAATAAAACGTATCAAAACGTAGGTCTGTATAAAATGCATTGCCTTATTTAAAAACAATCAAAAGAGGCTTTCATAGGCTCATCAAAATATACTCCTCATTAGAATAAAATAGATGTGGCAAGCCTCTATGGTTTTATTCCCATCTATAAAAACACAAATTTACCCTTTCCAGAGTGATGGGATTGTATTTTAATTGCACTGATGACAAATAATTGCTTTTGATATTGATTTACTGTTTACGCCTAATGTATTGTTGTCTTCGATCACTTTTATATAACTAGTAATACCGAATTTAAAAAATGTCTTTATCTGTCTGATAGGATCACTGCGACAGTGCAGAAAGTGGAGCTCTTGTGGCAGGAGGTTTTTTCCAAAGCTCGGCTCCAGTTACATGTGCTACAGATGAGAGAAGCTGCTCTGCAGGTAATATACCAGGCGGACATGATTTGCAAATGGTGTGTGTGCTTTTTAAATTATGTTTTAAAGACCTTCATGTTGTGAATCCCTCTGTCAGATTACAGAGCAGATTGAGAGTCTTCTCCAGCACAAGCTTCAGCCCTACAACATCCACATGGCAAGAGATGGAACTGAAGCTGATCAGCTGACCTCAGAATTCCACTCTTCAGTCTACACTCCAGCCATGGTATTGTGCATAGCTAACCCACATTAGAAAGGGATAATAACATAAAATATGAAAAAAGATAGAATAATAAAACAATATAAAGTATATCTTGCTCCTAACTAGACTAAAGATTAACTATTTTTAATTATTTTGCCTGTCCCCATATAATCACTTGAATGTAAGTCACTTTTGTTGTTGCAGTCTTTGGTGGTTGCTGCTGAAGAGGTGGTGTGTACTTTAACAGAGCAGATGAGCAATGCTCTGGGCAGAGAACGCTGGCTGCTGGACCTGCACAGGCTCAAAGACAAGCTTCACTCAACGGTGCATTTGACTTTACAAACATTACAGGCTGTGTTCAAATACCATCTATTTTACAACAAGGTGGGTCCCTCCCTGGAATTTTCAGTATTTTTCAGTGTTCTTTTTTTTATTCAAGCTTGTATAACTCTTAAGAAATGTATTTGGAGCTGTGTTGGACATTGTGTTTGGACCTTTCAGGCTCACGGCTGGTATAAATCGGTCCTATCAGAGAACTACTTACAGGAGTTACTTTCTCAAGTGGACAGGCCGAGGAGGAGTTGGGGTACACTCCCTGCATGGAGGAAGAGGCTCTTTGCTTTCCTGAAAAATAGTCCCCCTCCAGACATGGAGGAACTGGTTCATCTGGCCCATCTTTCTCAAGTCATCCCTGACAAACGACTCCAACAGGAGGGCAGACAATTGTCTCATCGGTAATTTATGTACAAACTGTATACAAACTATCTTTACACAACTACTTTTAAGTATATTATTTTTCTTTTTTTATATACATTACTTTGATTAAGAGGAGCAGTATATTCATTTTCAAAATGCTTCATTATTTCAATTATTCTCTGGCATCTATTCACACAATAATTGCATTTTCAGATGCATGATCTTGAGACGGATGATCATGTCCTCTGAGCCTGTGCCAATAGCTCAAATCCAAGTGGCACTGCAGTGGCAGTATGAGCTCCTACAGAGTTCACTGGTCAAACAGAGGGAACACTCCTCTCCCATTGACACTGAGCCTGACCTGCACTTCCAAGAGGCTAACCCCAGGACAGCAACCCATAGAGACAGTAGAGTGAACCTCCTTGGACTTGTCACCACAACAGAAGGGAAACAGTCGTCTCACAGTTCATTTGACTCAGGATTTGAAGGAGCTGGAAGCAGCAGGTTAGAAGGGCATACTGTGGCTCCGGACTTTGTAAAACAGACAGTGAATCAGCCCCAGATCCAGGAGGACACTGCGTCTACCCTCTCTGATTCTGGCGGGTTTGGATCACTTGGAAACTCATCTAGAGCCAGTGTCAACATTGCTCCTAAAGCAACCCTAAATTCTCTTGACTTTGAAATAAAAGTGAAACGGTCAGCTGCACATCCCACCAACCCATGGCTGAGTTTACCAGATGATGACCTGGAGAACTCCTACACTGTGACCATCACACCAAAGCCATCACTAGAGCAGAAAGACTCTTGCTTTAGCTTCAATAGTCAAAAGAACAAAGAACTCTGTCCTGGGAGTCCTGCAGCCCATCCCACTGCCTGGGCACTGCACACCCAGAGCAGCCTGGAGGACTCTGAACTCAGCCCCATGACACATGTCCTGTCCAGTACGGTCACAGAGCCCACAGACCAGGCCACAGGGGAGCCTTCTATGCTTTGGGACTCCTACGACCTCCATGAACAATACCTGGATTCAACAGAGGGGTAAGAATTGAACCACAACAGAATTTCAGTATGTTCTGAAATGCTCCAAGATAAAAATTAACTGTTTCATGGATAATTTTTCCCCCAGTGTGAGTGCTCCGTTGAAAGATTGGGACATAAAGGAGGAGGAGAACTTGACGGAGGTGGAGAGGACTCTTGAGCGGACGGACAAGATCCTAACAGTGAGTAAAGCAAACGACTAAAGTCTGTGGGGTTGGTGGCTTTGTGGACTGAAAATGTGTTTTATAGGAGGAGGAGTGTGTCCTGGCACAAGAGGTTCAGCTGGATGTTCTGCTGCGGTCAGAAGTTGAGCCATATCCCTGGCTGGCCTGGAACAACCAGGTAGAACTTACATTCTTACAAAATGAGCACTTCTCTGTCCCTCTGAACCAATTCTACCAAATACATTCTCTGAGAAATTGGAACAAGGGCAAATATTTTTATCTGCGAGATCCTTTCTAGGGATTAAGCAAATTTCATCTCCCAAGGGACCAATTTTATGGTAGTAGTTCTATTGGTTTAGGTCTAGTCTAGTGCTATTATATCAGTTTTTGACTATGTATTGTAAGAGTGCGTGTCAACTAGTTTTGTTTTCACTGCAGATGTCCTTGAATGAATTGTCAAAAGGCAATGTTGTGGACCTTGATCAGTTTGGTGCAAAGTCCCAGTTTGAAACCGACTTAAATCTACAGCCTGCAGACTGGAGAGCCAAACCAGACCTACTCACAGAGCTCAAAGAGGTTCATGCTCTGGACCAGAAGATCTTGGAGGAGAATTTCAAAATCAATCAGCTCAGGCAAGAAGATTGTCTAGAGGAAGTGGTACAGAGGAATTCTGACAGGCTGAATGTGCAGAATGTCAGGATGCAGCTCACAGAAGAAAAACTAGAGCAGAAAACGTCAGAGAATAAGTCTGTGAGAAATTGTCAAGTAAAGAAACCCAAAGAGCGAGCTACCAGAGTCATCAGATGTTCCATAATGTCCAGAACAGACAGTGAAGAAGACAGAGCCCTCTGTAATGAGGCACTGTCGGTGCAAAGCTGCTCAGAGGTGTCACACTCAAAAGATGAGCTTAGACAGTCCTGCTCTTCTGATCCAACCCAGTCTAAGAAAACTTGCATGAAATTGCAAGACAATACTACCCATTCTCCCAGTGAGCCTCCTGTCTCTAACAAAATGGTCTCATCCAGAAATCCTGCTCAGTCCCCTTCTGATGTGGGTGTTACTCCAGACTGCACAGTGGACAGAGAGGTAGAGCCAGGAATTGAAAGAGGGGCATGTTCCCAGCCCATACCAAAGCCAAGAAAAAAAACACTTTCTCTAAAAAAACAGACAAACCAACACAGCACTCATCGCTCTAAATATGGAAGCACACTCCCTGTGGATACTATGGATGCATATGCATCCTCTGTAAATACTGAGGAAGCGAGTACACCTACTGTTGACAAATTAAACCTTGTAGGGAGGACCTCTGGTCTCACGTCTGGAGACTTGCCCGCTGAGGGCACTGAGAGCGGAGGTGTGCTCGCTGAGAACACTGAGGGAGAAGGGGTGCCCACTGAGGGCAGAGGAAGTACACGCACTGATACTGAGGACAGAAGTATACCCGCTGAGGGTGGAGAGGTACCCACTGAGGGTGGAAGTAGTACAACCGCTAAGGACACTGAGGGCAGAAGAAGTATACCTGCTGAGGGTGGAGGGATGCCCACTGAGGACACTGAGGGCAAAGAAGGGATGCCCACTGAGGACACTGAGGGCAGAGGAAGAACACCTGCTGAGGACAGTGAGAGCGGAGATGTTCCCGCTGAGAACACTGAGGGAGTAGGGGTGCCCACTGAGAGCAGAGGAAGTACACCCACTAACGACACTGAGGGCAGAAGTATACTCACTGAGAGTGGAGGGGTGCCCACTGAGGACACTGAGGGCAGAGGAAGAACACCCACTGAGGACAATGAGGGCAGAAGAATATCCACTGAGGGTGGAGGTAGTACACCCACTGATGACACTGAGGGCAGAAGAAGTATACCTGCTGAAGGCGGAGGGGTGCCCACTGAGGCCACTGAGGGTAGAGGAAGTACAACCACTGAGGACACTGAGGGCAGAGAAGGAACACCCGCTGAGGACACTGAGAGCGGAGGTGTGCCCGCTGAGAACACTGAGGTAGGGGTGCCCACTGAGAGCAGAGGAAGTATACCCGCTGAGGGTGGAGGAGGGGTACCCACTGAGGACACTAAGGGTGGAGGAAATACAACCGCTGAGCGTAGAGGAAGGGTACCCACAGAGGATATTGAGAATGGCAAACTGCCCACTGAGGAGACTAGAGACGTGGGTGAATCTTCATCCCTGGATCCAAAGCTGCACGGAAATCACAACAATAACAACAATAGGCTACAGCCTGAGGTTGGAAAACAAGAGACGCACTCTGACGATTACTCTGATCAGGTATGACAAAACTTAAGAATATCAAACAAACCACATTTTCCTTTACATTATTCAAAACTACATTGTGTTTATCTTTTCATTGTCAGTGAGAATCACTTTGGGTGTGACCAACCCATGTTACAGCATAGTTTGGCAATGGGGACAAGTTTTATATTGGGTATAGGGATTTTTATTTTCAAGTTTCACAGCACACTGCTACTACTTGAATCCTTGCATGTTTGAGTTTGACGTTACACCTGTCCAACTTCCAAATCACTACACTACAAGTGCTGGAGGGGGAGGGTTGGCCAAAAATGTTCTGTTGGTCAGATACTCTGGTCACACCCAAATAACAAGAGATCTGTTATACATGCAAACCGTGCATTATTCATTATTCGTGTTGATAAACTGATCATGTCATTTTGCAACTTCAGACTAAATACTTCAACACACTGGCAGCCAATTCATGTGATCTTGGGATAGTGCTCCCTATCTGTACTCCTCTGTACAATGATGAAAAAAGGGAAGAAGTGAAGTGGTCAGAGGAGATTTATATCCCAATGATACAGGACCAACTCAACATCAACACCACTCTGGTATTGTACTGCACATTTGTGACATTGTTTTCAGTTGCTTTCACTATGAAAGTGTTAAAGCCAAAGTTGTGCATAGTCTGACTGGATATCAGTTTGCAGCGAGCATCCTAAAGTCAGTCTCCACATATAAGTAATCTAAGGAAGGACATCAGACATATGTCCCCACACAAGTGGCTGTTGAGACCACAAAAGCAGTAGGGAGTGTGAACCTGCCTCCTGCTCCAGTAATTACTATGGTTGTCATGATTTCAGCCTTCAGACCTTGGCACCTCGATCATCCTGGACACAGGATCAGGTTTGATGAAAGCTGGATTTGCAGATGAGGACCTTCCAAGTGTTTTATTTCCAACAATAATTGGTGTGCCAAAATATGAGGTACAGACTGGCCTAAGAAAACTTCTTTAATATTTGTGTTTGTGATAACCTTATGTCTGGTTTCCTCTACAGGAGATAATGAATAGCAGCTCAGTAAAGGATACATATGTGGGACATGAAGCTCAGCATATGAGGGGGGTCCTGGCTCTGAGACATCCCATCAAAAATGGCATCATTGGTAACTGGGACGACATGCAGAGGGTGTGGCTCAAAGACTGGTTCATCTTTTTAATACTAAGTGTTTTATTGTCAGTTTAGGTGACTGAGCTACTCATCCCATTTATATAAATCAGTGTGCATAGTAGCAGAAGGCAGACTTCCCTAGTTTAGACTTTGATTTGAACATAAATTAGTAAAAATTCTTTGACAAGGGTTGTAATTTTTTTTTTTGCCAGATTTGGCAGCACACGTTTGATCTTTTGCGTGTGGACCCGGGCGAGCACCCAGTCCTGCTGACTGAGGCTCCTATGAACCCACTAGAGAACAAACAACGTGCAATGGAGATCATGTTTGAGTTCTTTGGAGTTCCCTACAGTTATGTTGCGATGCAGGCAATGCTGGCACTGTATGCTGCTGGCAGGACAACAGGTGAGAGGCACAGACACTTCCTGTGGGAGGGGGGGGTGGGGGAATGGGGTTTTGGTTGAAGAATGTTTGCCCTCATGATGCTGTGTGCTGCAGGTGTGGTGCTGGATTCTGGGGATGGAGTAACCCACAGTGTCCCAGTGTATGAAGGGTATGTTCTGCCTCATGCGGTGCAGCGCTTCCCTCTGGCTGGAGCAGATGTAACGGCACACCTCACAAAGGTAAACGGCTTACCCTTTTTGAGTTTTGTGCTGAGCTGTACCCAGCAACTGAATGTCCTTGTTGATCATCAGCTGCTTCAGGAGCAGGGCGTGTGCATGAGGACCACAGCAGAGCAGGAGATAGTCCGTGAAATGAAGGAGAAGTGCTGCTGTGTGTCTCTCAATTACGAAGTGGAGCTGCATGACAGTGGGTCCTATGGGGAGGCGAGCTACACGATGCCAGATGGAAAGATTGTGACACTGGGCTCAGAGCGAATAAGGTGACTGATGCATTACACTTCCTGTCGGCTTACACGCAAGAGATCTGAAGCCTCTGCTCCTTTTAAAATAAAGGACAATGATTGATCTTAATTTACACTTATAATTCTGGTTGTCTGTTGTTCCTCAGAGCTCCAGAGATCCTGTTCAAACCTGATCTTATTGGCCGGGATCACTATGGCCTCCATGAAAGTGTGTACAAATCTATCCTGAATTGTGACTTGGACCTGCGGCGGGACTTCCTGGGAAATGTTGTTCTGTCAGGTATGTACTGTCTCACACCCCCCCAGCCCCTATGGCCTTTGTAGGGAGACAGTGGCACTGTGGTAGAACATAGTGAGGTTGGTTTGAGCCCCACTCGGACCAGTGTATGCTGGTATAGTTTTATAGTTCCTTGTGCAAGACACACCTTGTCTGTGTTTTTGAGTGAGTGACCCTTTACTTATGCTGTGTCGAAGGAGGGAACACTCTTCTCCCTGGTCTCCCTGAGCGGCTGGAGTCCGAACTAAGTGTCCTGGTGCCCTGTGAGCCGCACTCTTCTGTGCGGGTCTGCAGCCCCTCTAACAGGGACTTTTCTGTATGGTGTGGAGGGACAGTTCTGGCCAACTTGCCAACCTTCAATGGGCTGTGGATCAGCCAGAGTGAGTATGAGGAATATGGGCCACAGATAGTCCACAGGAAGTGTTTCTGAGCTGTATATTAAAGTATCCTCAAATGAAATATATGGTGCCCAGCCTGGGAAAATATATATATATAGATATATGTGAATATTTAAGTTATTTGCCCACAGCTGCTGTTGTGTGTCCCTGTGTGTGTGGTCCTGTCACTTTTTATGTTATAAATGTATATATGTTTTCTTTTTCTAATATTATATAAGATTGGTTGAAGCTGGCCTTTAAGTGAATCGGGCCAAGACCTTTTTACATAATAATTTAAGGTCACAAGTAAGCCATCTAAAGCATAAATAATCTAATATAACCTTTATATGAAGGAAGGATAATTGGGGCTTCCAGACCCCTGTTGTATGTGAATCTGATGAGAGCTGACTGAGCGGTGTTGGACTTTTTGTGGTACATTGTTCAAGGGTTTTATAATATATATTTTTTTATTTATATTTTTAATGTGTCTCAACTGTCATTCCATTTGAAACCTGGAGGCACAATCTACAACTATCTGGGTCAATTATGTAAAACTATGAATGGAAAAAGGTGACATTGAAGGTGCGTGCGTACATCTTCAGTCAACAGCTGTGAGTGCTGCTGCTGCTCATCTGCATCATTGGGAGTGAGGGCTTGCAGTGTGTGTTTTTTATTTTGTTGTTAATCCGTTTGCAAATTATCCATTTGTAAATCTGTAAATAAGGCACGATGATGCACAGTAGTGTTTAACAGTCTAGTTGCTGCCAAAGTGAACTGAAATGGTTCCTTGTCCCTGTGTTCATTGCCAGTGTATATATGTATATATATCTTTATTCAATATGTTGTAAATATGTATATATATCTTTATTCAATATGTTGTAAATATTCATGTATACTTTTGTGGTTTGCTGAATAATATTGCTTTTGCTGGTGTATATTCTTTGTAAGTGTTGTAAGAACACAGGGTTGACAAATATTAAGTCATGTAACCTTTGACCTACAGTGTTGCACCTTGCTTGCCCTTGGACTTCAGATGTAAATGTACTGTACCAGTCTGCACCAGATGCAGTTTTTTACTAGTTTATCTGTTTTATAATAAATATAATTTAGTAACATCTTGTTGCTCGTGTGTGTGTGTGTGTGTGTGTTTTTCAGAGAAATATTGCATTTACTGATAACTATATAATTATAAAGAGTTTTTTGCATATTGTATATTGGTAACGAAGCAGATATACGTAGTATTTTATTTCTAGAATATGCAATTGGTGTCATTCATCCAAGGCTCTGGTCAGGTCCACTCTGACCATGTGCCCACCTCTCTGTCCCCGTAGTCCAGACAGATATACCAATGGCCTGGGCACATTGCTCTCTCCGTCCTGTGTGGTCTGTCCCACAGCATCTTTGTGGAGGTAAGTCTGAGTGCAGTTGTCTCTCTTAAAATGGCTCAAGTTGGTCTGAGTTGAGTGAGTCTGTTTGCTTAGGATATCAGCCTAAAGAGAAAGATGTCCAACTTTTAAATGTATAGTGTACATCTGAATGCCATTAATCATTTGGTCTAAAAATGTTACAGTAGGTTACCAGCTTCAGCGCCTTCCTTCGCAAGGCCCACTCGTTCCACTCGTATGCCCGATCTATGTAGCTCTCCACCGGGTGAGTGTCGGTCTGGGTGCCACTGGAGCTCCGAGTGATGGGCCGCACCAGGAGATGCTCTCCAGACTGCAGCTAAGCATAAACCATCCGCTGGTTGGTGAGGTCTTAATTAAATTTGCTTTTTGTTTTACTTATACTTTCTGTAGACTGTGACCATCTCCTGAACTGTTAAAAATAGCAATATTAAAATATGGACTATATAACTTTTCTGGTGGAGGATGTACCAGCTGCTTTGCTTGTCTCCCTGAGGATGTTATTGCTTTACCTGGGATATTCCACAGTATGCTATTAAACTGGTGTTGTTCTAGACACCCTGCTAGTGTGTTATACAGTGTAATGCACTGCTCCAATTTATTTTTATCCAATTACATGTTTTATTGCTCAAAAATACCTTAAACACACATTCTTACTGTGAATGGAGTCACCTCCACAAAGATCTGACCTGTAGACTGGTCCTATGGTGTCACCCTCCTCCAAAAATATTGTATAGTGCTCCTTTAATTACTTTATGTAGACACTTAACACTAGGAAGTCTTCTATGCCTTTTAAAGTCCCTACATTACCAGGCTCATTCTGAGAAAATCCTGCTGTATTGGTCTATTAGCATCATGTCTCTAAGAGCAGTGCTATAAAGAAATGTTATAATCTACATATGTTTTGGCCATCATGGAAAATAAAAGCTTCTGATATGTTATACGATACGATATATGGCAAGGATGCCTGCCATCATTTTGAAAAACTAAAAAATTTTGGGCTGATGAAAACTTTGGGCAAAATATTGAGAGTGGCACCTCTGTGTATGGGGTGACGCAGGAGAACTGTCGGTGAAGGCACAGCAGTTGGATGAGCTCTGGGCTGCGTTTGGCTCTCTCTGCCACCTCTGATATGTAGTGCTCTGGAGCTGAGGCAAACTGTAGCGCTGAGTCTTTGGAGCTAAACACATACAACTTCTCCTTATATTTCAAAAGGCCCAATTGAGGGTTACCTGTAAATGCCCAATGCATCAATATATTAAAATACAGAACACACATCCCCAAGGTGAGGAAAAAGTTGGGTTATTTTTACCAGGCAGCAGCAGTCCATCCCGAGACACCAGTGCATGTCCACAGAAGCCGCTGTACTGCACATTCTGAAGTTCTGTGTCGTTGGGCTGTTCAGGCACTAACCATTCAGTGTCAGGACCACTCACCTCCGCCGGGTCTATGGGCTTTTCTGTGAGAAGGTAACGGTGTTTAAACAGGATTTTAAAAGTGTCAACTTCTCCATTTCTTTTTCAAACATACTGAAGTGTTTTCTAGTTTAGAGTCTCACAACCGTTTTTATCCACTGAGATGCAAGTCTGGAATGTTCCACAGTGTGGCATTAAGCATTTATTCAACTACAGGTGTTTTTATTATATTGAAAAAAAAAATTAAAAATTAATTGTTACTATGAGCTGGATCGCTTCTCTACAGATCCTGGCCAACTTGTATCCATGGGGACAGATACGTTTAATGCTATACTGTGCAATACTGTATGCAAAAATGTTTCTCCATGAAGAACAAAATGGCAGATTTCCACAGAAAAGTTACATAGTGCACCTTTAATTATAAATGTTCGTACTTCATTATGAATTATCATTATGTATAAAAGACATTTAGTCTTGTCATGTCTTAGTTGTTGTTCACAAACTCATTACAGATTATATAACAATTTTATATGTACATTCCAGTAAACAATAAAAATGATAAAAATCTAAATACTGGATATGGATATAATTGGTTATATTCACTATATGTTTCAAATTGTTGGCACTTGTTATTACTGTTCTTGGAGTGGCTCTCCTCAAAATAGTTCCTCACCTTCACATAAGCGCTTCCTTTCTGCGTCACTCTTGATCTCTGACTCCTGCAGGAGACTATCTATGCTGCTTTCAGAGAAGATCTGAGCTTGGGATGAAACAAATGGGCGGAGACTCAATGCCAGGTTCCTAAAGATGTGGAGCAGCTCAGCCTCGTCCTGCAGACCACTCCAGAGACGCGACACAGACCGGAACATGGGCTGGACACAGGGCAGGGGTCAGTGATCAGGTAATAGACGTTATTCTTAAAAAAGCAAGCAAACAAACAAACAAACAAAAAACATAATGTGTGCTTACAAAGACTTGTGCGGCAGGTACGGCTCTCTTGGACTGCACCGTGTCCCTAAGCACTTGTAACTGTGCTGTGAGCTCGCTCTGCAGCAGCTCTACCCTCTGGACACTTGCCCCCACATCAGCCTGGGTTTATGTCAGCAACACATGGGAGAAAGGGTTACGAATTAAGATTGGCTGTGGACCTCTTGATAAAAAAGACACAAACTGTTTATTGACTTTTATTTGCACATCCCCAGTTGTTGCCACTTCTGTTAGAAGGAACAAAAATAGAATTTGATGTTATCTAATATAGAGAGCAAGAGAGAGCAAAAATCCACATATATATATATATATAACCTTTTCCATATGAACCAGCAAGACTGAAAATTTTGTGTGCTTGCATGATAATAACCTTTTAATACAACTGACAAGATAATGACTTTTATCTACTTGTTTGTATCAGGTGGATAGACCCATGTAAAAAAAATTGCATCTGCATTTTGCCCTGCACCTCAATTCTGTTCCTATATCATGTGAATCCAACCTATTGTTGTCCATCTGCAGAGGGAATCTCATACCATTAGCATGTTGAGGAAGGCTTGGTGCTGGCGGACATTGTAAAGCGCTTGCCGGAGCAGCTCCATGGAGACCCCACTCTCTGCTGGTGTGGCAGTCCCAGGCTCAGTGAAGGCCTCCAGGGCACACGTGTATCTCCACACCAGTCTCTCGCATTCCTCCAGCTCCTGCTCCAGGGCTGTACGGCTCACAGGAAGGACCTCTCTCAGCACCTCCGGCACTAGACAGAGAGGCATCTTCACAGTCTGAAGACACACCTTATTGTTGTACTAGCCAAACCAGAAATGACACTAAATATCCAAAATCCAAAGAGCCACACATGGGACATGTTGCTGAAGTCTGAAATTTTTAGCTCATAGATAATAACACCATATGATTTTTTTGTTTCTTTATCATAACGCAGAGAGAGAGTGGAATAGCAAAATATAAAATAATAATTCTCCAAAGGCTTGAGAACACTACTGTAAGCATTTCTTACCTAAGTCCTGGATATTGAGCTCCACCTGGTCCTGGGCCATGCTGAAGTGATTGAAGAGACGGATCCCCGTCACCAGCATGCTCAGGTCCTTGAGCTGCTGCTCTTTGTCTCTTTTGAGCAAAGCCATGAAGGAGCCCAGTTCTGTCTGAGGGAAGACACTCTGAAGGGCCGCTGTGCACAGGGATAACAACATAATCAGCAAAACAACTCAGTCTTCTTCTTGACACTGGGTCAGACAGTCCAGAGGTGAAAAGGGCTCACTTGCATTTACTCAGTTACATTTTCTTCAGTAAAAATTTATTACTCTGGGAAGGTTTCAGACTGTAAACTTTTACCCCTCTTTGACCTTGAATAATATATTTCACAGTGTAGACAGTAACAGTACTCTTACTCTAGTAAATGTTGTGGAAATTCTTCCCTCTTTGAGTAAATCTACAAGTGACATGTTGACAATATTAAATTATTTGAACATTTGTGCTTCTTGCACCATTAATATTTTGTCGTTTCAATTACTTTATTGTCTATCTTTTCCAAGTTATTAATCTATTTTTATGTCCAGACAGATTCTCCCCATATATTTTTTTACTCTTACTTGTAATTTCATCAAGTACCCCTTTGTACTTTGTACTACATGTGTAATATTATTTTTGTAAGTAATTTTACTCTTACTTGAGTACAATTATTGGCTTCACTACCCTCCTCTGACCAGTAGAATTATGCCTGGTACTGTAGCTGTACCTGTGGTCTGGTGTAGGGCATCAGTGTCACTGGGAGAGGCCATGCCAGAGCGCAGCAACATGTAGTGGGTAATTTTGTGGTACAAAGTCTCGACCTGGTCGCGTGTCTTCACTCTGCTGTCTGTGATCTCTCGGCTCAATGGGCTCAGCTTGGACTCCACCACGTGATGGATCTCTGTCACAAACTCCCCTGTACAGCACAATTTCATTTTCAACAAAAGACTCAATTGTCAAAAGACACACTTCACTGAATGACTCTGTGTTGCTGTAGAATGAAAATATAGCCTATTTTTTAAAAGTACCAGTCGTTATTGATTCAGTTATTTGGACACAAATCTGACTCTGAATGGCATACGTACGTCGTGTAGTGTAGTTGAGATCAAAATACACCTGCATCTTGACAGTGTCCAGGAATGGGCACCTCTCTGTGAGTCTTTGCAGACAGATCTATAGAACAGACTACATCACCCATCATGCACAGTCACAAAACATAGGCCCTAGGAAACATGAAGAGTAAGAACTCACCTCAGTGAGCTTCTGTACGTCGTGGGAGGTCAGTGTGCAATCCACATCAAAACCATTTTTAGGATCCAGTACAACTGCTTTAATCTGGGGAAAAAAGGCTTTTAATAAGTGTGGACCACATTACTCCTCTGAGCCAAGCGGCCTTTATGTTCTCCATGGCCCCGGTCCTCCTTCAGCCCAGCTAGTCACCTAGTCCTATGTAACACCCAAATCCAACTAAACACATCAACAGGGCTGACAATACTGCTCCCACTGCAAATAAATTTAACAGCTAGACAGAAGATATGGTCTTTTTCTGAGTCTCGCATTGCAGCTGGCAGTGTTGGCCCCTGAACCGCATTTCTTTTCCATAGCTCTGGCAGACAGGGACAGGCTGTGGGACTCACCATGAAAGCAGCGAGCGTCTCTGACACTTCATGTCCATGTGAGGCACAGCGCTGAACAAGCTCGCAGATAATATTTCTAATCACGTTTTCAGCCTGAGCTTGAGACATTTTGATTTTTGTGTCTAATGCCACTCACACTGTCGACTGTTTGAGTTGATGTATGGTAGTCATGGCAACAGTCTCCGCCCCAGTGACCGATTACCGCTAGGAGGCGCTGATGATTATTATTATTTTTTTTTAAAAAAATTATTTTTTATTTTTTGTATTTGTAAAAGCATTGATGTTTATTCAAACTCTGAGTTTTAAGGTGTTTGCTCTGGTCACGTGACACGGCGCAGTCCCTCCGGAGCCTAATGAGGACACGGCTCTGCTGCGGGGGAGCCTTTTTTAATTTTTTTTTTAATGAACATAGACTAACAAACATTTGTAGAAGACAAGTAAACATAAGAACACACTAGGGGGCGTCGCAATCTAAAAACATAACATTCCAATTCAGGTACAAAATAAATACAAACTACAAAATAAATACAAAAATAAATAAGTTGAATCTGAACCATTACATCAAAACAGAATTTGGCAATTAGATGGGAGGTAGTTTTTGCTGTTTTTCAATTATCCAATGTGGTTAAGAAGCTATAATACAATTTAAACTCATTCATAAAACAAGGAAATGAGGGTGTGTTCCCTCTCCATTTACTACAATTAATATGATAAAGCAAAACAATATTTATAACAGTTTCTATTGAAGTGTCCAAATTGTCCATATAAAATAGAATGTGACAAGTTTTGAATACAGAGATTTTCATTTCTGAATTTAGCCTGATTCTGACATTTGACCAGAAGACTTGAGAGTGAAGACATTAAAAAAAAGATTCTTCTTTAGAATTACAAAAAAAAAAAAAAAAAAAAAAAAAAAAAAAGAAAAAAAGAAGCAGAATTCAATCTCAAATCTAAATCTTATTTTAAGAAACAGGCCCACAGGGTAGATATTGTTTATACTTTTAAAATGAGTCTCTTTCACTTTTGGAGACAGCAGTAACTTTAATTAATTTAATAATTTAATTTAATTTTCATAGACTGATTATTAGAGCTGGGCATGTCCTTAAAAGAAGTTCTATTAAAGTATATGAAAGATAGACAATGTAACTGGAATTTTGTTAATCTAGTAAAGCAAAACAAAGAACTGTGTACTTTTGTGACACAGGGAACATCCTGCTGTAACCAGAATGAGCAGCAGTGAGTCACGATGCCTCCAGCCGCAGAAGAAACAGGAGAGGAACTGCCCACAGCTCGCAGTTCAGTATGTGCTTGAGATTCGTGGAGGTAAACAAACTTCTGTGTGTCAACTAGTTTGATTTTAAAATGTCTGGAAGCACTGAAAACCTGCAGCAACTGAAGGAGGGGGCGAAACGCTGCATCGACCTGGCCCAGGACAAGCTCCACGCGTTAAGTCTAGATATCTGGAGCTGTCCGGAACTGGCCTACCAAGAAATCCATGCTCATGACAGGCTGGTGGACTTTTTCACTCGAGAGGGAGGCTGGGAAGTGGAAGCACACTACAAACTAGACACGGCGTTTAGAGCCTTGTGGGGTTCGGAGAGCAGCCAAAAGGGTCCTGTGGTGCGGGTGGGTTTCCTTTGCGAGTATGACGCATTGCCCGGAATAGGACACGCGTGTGGACATAACCTGATCGCAGAAGTTGGCGTGGCGGCTGCCCTGGGACTGCGAGGGGCTCTACAGGATAACCCGCAGCTCCCCGTACAGGTGAGCGGGCGGCATGTGGCTACAGTACGGTAATGATGTTCCCGCGTTCTTTGTAATTAGTCTCAAAACACCAAACGTATGTTTATGGCAATGGTTTAATCTCAAAAATTGTGTGAAAGACATTTTAGATTCATTAGTTATCTTAATTTAAAGATATATAAATTAAATTGTGGAAATGTTATGTTACATGTTGTATATGCAAGTTATTAGGTCATTAATGTTAAGTGACTAATTAAAACTTCATATTAGTTTGTTGGCATTATGTTGTTAGGGTGGCAAAGTGTTGTTAATTGCCCTGCCTAAGTGCATAAAATTTGGCTAACTATGTAGACCACATCAATTAATTTTGGTCTGTGTCCCCTTCTGGCTCAAATAAAGAGAGTCTCAGTAAGCTATGGTTCAGTGCATTAAATTGTGAGTTGTCATGCTACTCCAGGTGGTGGTGTTGGGGACCCCTGCCGAGGAGGATGGGGGAGGGAAGATTGACCTGTTGCAGGAAGGAGCCTTTGACGGACTTGATGTGGTGTTTATGGCACATCCATCCAAGGAGGACGCAGTGTACCTGTCGTGTGTAGCAGAGCATGAGTGAGTATTACCACTGTACTATAGCCAACTGCACACAGTTCAATGCTCTTTACAAACAATTTCTAAACAAAGACACAATACAGGATATAGGAGATTACATTTGGCATTCTTTTAGCAGAAGACATGCTGCAGCACACCCCACAGTTCAACATTTATCAGTGTCCTTCATTTATCCTCTTTTAAGTAAATATTTAATGCAGTATTTAAAACATATTTGGGCCTATCTATCTGTTCCTATCTATCTGTATTGTACCAGTGTGACTATCAGGTACCATGGAAAGGCCTCTCACGCCTCAGCTTACCCCTGGGAGGGAGTGAATGCTTTGGATGCTGCTGTTCTGTGTTATAACAACTTGTCAGTGCTCCGACAGCAAATGAAGCCTACCTGGAGAGTGCATGGTGAGCACCTCCTCTGATCTTTGCTCTTTGGTTTTTGGCTTACTGGAGAAGTATTTCCAACTCTGACATTGTGTTAAATGCAGGGATCATCAAACATGGTGGACTCAAGCCAAACATCATCCCTGCATACACCGAGCTGGAGTACTACCTGAGGACTCCATCCAGAGCTGAGCTGCCCCTGCTCAAACAGAAAGCTGAAGGCTGTTTCAGGGCTGCAGCTGTAGCCACAGGTTGTCAGGTAGACACTCTCAACAGTAAATAAATACATTTATTAGAAAATTAAAAAGATTTCCTAATGTGTGTGCACAGGTCCAAGTGGAGTTTGCAAAGAATAGGTTTGACAATATGCTCCGAATCCCCACACTGGAGCAGCTGTTCCAGGCCAATGGGACCGCCCTGGGAATGAACTTGAATGTGGATGAAGAGGTCCTTGCAAATGAGTCTGGTTAGATGACCACACAAAATATTTATTTCATACTTTTTTTTCTTTAACTAAAGATGAGCTGTAATAAGCTTTAATAAGCTTAATACGCTTTTTGCTTTTTACAGGTTCCACAGACTTTGGAAATGTGACTTTCAAGGTTCCTGGGATACATCCATACTTCTACATTGGATCAGATGCTCTGAACCACACTGAGGAATACACAGAGGCTGCAGGTAGGATAACCATATGTAAATACTGATTTATTTCAATAATATCATAAGATGCATGCCTCCGTTTTTTATTAAAGCTAACAATAAAACTCTTGAATGATTATTCCCTTCTCTGACATACGCAGTATGCACTTTCTGCTATGTACATGTTAATTTTCAGTTGTGGTGTGGCTAACTGCTTTGAAACTTGTTGAAATTTTGTATGGTTCAGGGGACAAGAGGGCTCAGTTCTACACCCTCAGGATTGCCAAAGCCCTTGCCCTGACTGCCCTGGACCTACTGATGAATCCGAAGCAACTGGAGTGTGTCCGACTGGAGTTCACACAGGCTAAAGACAGGGAAACTGAGAAGGAGCGCTCACTGCTGGCTGCTCTTACAGTAGGAGCTGGTGCTGGATCCTCTTGAGAGCTACAGCTGTGTGAATGAGTAAAATACAATGTGGCAAAGGAGAAATTCAATTTGTCAACTGGACAAAGTTTATTTGGTCGAATACGTTTCGCAGCTCATCCAAGATGCTTCTTGAGTTCTGGTCAGACGCTGGTGGGTACTTCCTTATATCTGTCTAACACACCTCCTTGTTTACAGTTTCTGTTAGTTAGCTAGGCCTATTGAACTTGCACTGTGTGAAATCATATAAGCATAACCTTTCAGGGCCATAATGGGTGCTTTCACACCTCTGGGCCTGACCTGGCTACAGCTATTGTTCTCTTGTTTGTTTTGATTTAGGTTTGAGGATAGATTTGTAAATAGGAGATAGATGGTGTTTGAGATTGCCATTTCTGTTTAGAGAAGCACTGTCTGAAAAGTACAATGTGAGCATTTGCAGCACAGTGCACTCCAAATGTGGGTGGGAGCAGGACAACACAAAAAAGCATTAAACGTCAGCATCACACTTTTTTTCTCTCAATTTGATCCAACTATTCATCCATCTTATGGAGTTCAGTGTGCTTTCTCAGAAGTCTTTAGTACACTTCCTGTTTCTGTCTATTATAATAAATAAAAAATATTTCATTTTAATCCTTGTTTTAATGGAGAGATTAAGACTGCTATTTTGGTCGAGATCCAGAAACAAGTTTTCTCATAATCAGGAACAGAGCAGGGCGATTTGAATAAAAGATTAAGCTCACTTGTTTCTTGTTTTTCCATGGTTCTGTTCAGAATGTGGCAGATTCTGAAGAGGCTAATCCTATTTTTTTACAAGGTTTTGTTCACAGTGACATGTTGGCTCTCTGAGTTTTTTGTCTGCATATTACAACGTTCCAAATTTGACCTAAGCCACAGCAGATGTCACAGAACATTACATAAGAATACTTGAACGGAAGTATTATCAGCCTCTCACTATTGTAAATATGATTGTTATCATCTTCCCCAAAGTGAAACAGTGCCACAGACTTATGAAAAATAAACATTTTAATAAAAACATTCCTTATCAGCCTGTGCATTTGATTATTAAGTAAACAAGAAATTATGTAAAGTAGCCACCAAAAATTTTTGGCTGATTGCAAGACCTATTTTGCCCTACCCTATTAAGAATAGGGTAAACATGATTAATTGGAGATTTTATATACATATTTTGGTATACATATACTTTTAATTATCAAAAACAAATTCTTAATGTACACTACCAGTCAAAAGGTTGGACATTTATATTTCTTCTTTATTACCATGACCATTTACAGTGATACTGAAGGCATCAAAACTATGAATGAACACATGGAATGTAGTAAACAAAAAATATTCAAAATGATGCAAAACTTGTTTGAGATTGTAAAATTTAAAAATAGCCACCTTTTACTTTGAATGCTGGTTTGCACTTTTGATATTTCTTGATCCTGATGCAACACAGATGTGAAGTGAAAACCATTTCAGGCGACCTTATAATGAAGCCCACTAAGAGAAGGCCAAGGTTTTGCAGCGCTGTCCACAAAGAAAAGCGTGTTTACTTTTGAGATTTGAATATAACATTTTTTTTTCTTTGCCACGTAATTCCATATATCTTCATCATATATTTGATGTTTTTGTATATATATAAAATGTAGAAAGTAGTTAACGAAGAAAAAAAACAAAACATTGAGAGCGTGCCCAAATTTTTGACTGGTAGTGTCAATATACATATGTGTTAGTATGTATGTGTATTTATTGGAAAAGTCACCCTAAATTTATATTTTATGTGTTAAGAACAGAGGTGGGACCAAGTCGTTGTTTTGCAAGTCTCAAGTAAGTCTCAAGTATTTGACCTCAAGTCCGAGTCAAATCCCAAGTCAAAGACAAGCAAGTCGAAGTCGAATCTCAAGTCACTGTTCCAGGAGTCCAAGTCAAGTTGTCTGCTCTGAGGTTCAAGTCATTTCAAGTCTTTAAACCAAAGTACCAAATATATCATAGATTTTTGCAGTTTATATAATTTTTAAACAAAACTGTTCTTAAAATGTCATGGTATATTTATATATGAGTATTTATTTAAGAGTTGTAGAAATGCAAATTTTTCCTTTTTAAATGCCTTGACAAGAGTGCGAATTATTATGGTTTAAAAGTGCTTAATAACAGTTCATTTGTAAACTAGTCTAAGCATCAAGTCTTCTCAAGTCACAGGGCTCAAGTCTGAGTCAAATCCAAAATCAAAGACCTTCAAGTCCAAGTCAAGTCCCAAGTCTTTGTCTGTTTTGTCAAGTCAAGTCTCAAGTCCAAAAATAGTGACTCCAGTCTAACTTGAGTCCAAGTCACGATTTGCAAGTCCCAACCTCTAGTTAAGAACATCTGCAGATGTCATCACTAAGCAAAAGATGTGACATTGGTGAAGATAGAGTTGTACAAGGTGAGATCAAGGCATCACCAGAAGTGCTCCTTCACTTGGAGAAAATGTGAGGAATCATGAGAAGGACTACTGGATTAAAGAACTGTTACTCCACTTTGCAAGAACAATTCATGCAATACTAGTCTGTCCTCCCGGGTGTAGATCCAGTTTATGATCAGCCATCAACACAGAAGTCCACTATTGAAAATGATATCTTGTTCACAGATGTTACACAAAATCTGTGAGAAAAGGGCTCCATTTACGAAAAAGAAGTCATAATGCACCAGATGCAGAATTCACAGTCACAGCTGTATCAATTGCTTTGTCTATTTATCTCTGTTCCCTTATTTTAGTGACATATTTGTTCATAGTTGCTGCCTAGGCATTTTGATAAAGTTTTTTTGTCCCTGGCGTGGCAGAAGTTGGTAAGGAGTTATGGTGGTGTCACATATAGATGGACCAGTAGACCACATTGAAGAAGATATAGGATGCGGGGAAGACAATCCGTGAGTATTTGTCAATGGCGTGCGTATCAATCCACATAGAGTTGTAAGCACTGGAGCCCACATGCCCTGTCACCTGGTCATTCTCCATGGCCAGCTGCACCAGCATTCGCTCCCGCTTCACTCCATTCTCCTCTGGTAGGCCATAGTGGCCCGTGGTGTTGGCGTCTACCTCACTGTAGCTGGACGACAGCATGCCGGGATGAGCCAGTCCACACGTACAGGGCAGCTAAAGTCACACACAACATAACTACAGTGTACCATTTGACAAGAGGAAAGGACTCTACCTCAGGAAAGGACTCCTCACATTAGTGGCGCCTATTCTATATGCAAATATTTTTTAAGATATGTGATTCACACACTTTCTGTAATTGACACTTGTAATTGGGTGCATTTAGCACAATTTAGACTGAACAATCAGATCTTTATTCAGTATTAGAACCTAGGGAGACAACAAAATGTTTTATATTAACTTAAAAGTCATATTTTGCCCCTGGCTGTTATTTCACTTGGCCTAGCAGCTAATTTCTGTCTTACATTAGATTATTATTGATTTTGCATGTAAACAAATAACAGCAATTCAACCTTTCAACCATAAAGTAAAAAGTTAGGAATCTGATCTTTAAAGAACAGTCAAGTTATAGAAACACAATTTTTCATGGATATCTCTCTAAATTTCTGTTTTGCCACTCACATGCTCTCGCAGCTTTCTCTCCCTGCGCTCCTGTAGGGTGGACAGGTAGTTCACAGCGGCATACTCAATCACAGACAGGAAGACGAAGACAAAGCTAATCCACAGATAGATGTCCACAGCTTTGATGTAGGACACTCTGGGCATGGAGGCATTGACCCCGGTGATGATGGTGGACATGGTTAAGACCGTGGTGATACCTGCACAAGCACAAAAATACACACTCCTGAAGTACAAGTGCCAGTGTATCCCATACACAGAGAGTAGTATTTATGCGATTGACTCACCCAGAGGCACCCTGGCGGGGACAGCCCGGCGGTCGATCCAGAAGGACACCCAGGACAGCATGACCATAAGCGTGGCAGGGAAATAGGTCTGCAGCAGGAAGAAAAAGATGTGGCGCCGCAGAGTGAAGTTGATGTAGAGTCGGTTGTACCAGCCTGGACACAGCAAGGTCAATACTTTTCTGAATCTTTATTATGGAGTAATATGTTGTGGGAGTGGAGCATTTTTTTTTTTTTTCATGTGTGTGCTCAGACCTGTGCTGCTGTAGAAGGCCAGTTTAGTGGTGGTGTGGAACTCCTGGATGAGGAACTGGGACAGAGAGATCTTCTCGTCTGTGTTCAGAGAGCGGTTCCCTTCTTTCCAGTACAACATCAGGTCATCATCGGTGTATGCATCTGCACACAAACATCTGAGCTTTACCAGGACAAAGTAAGTGTATTGTTTTAAAGAAACCCTTTAAAATACTATACACAAATACATTCTAAATGCCAGAATGGAGACAACTGGAGAATAACATTCAGAAATTTGGATTAGCTGCAGAATACCACCAAATATGATAAGATTTTGCCAAATGATGATGACTGAGATACTGTATATGCAAGTGATATCAGAGACTGGTGGTGCAAAGCTAATTTCTATTATTTATTATTTCATATGAAATTATTTTATAATAATAATACAACCTGGTGAAGACAAAAACAAATATCAGTACAACACCTAAAATTACAAAGTATTTTAATGAGTCTATATTAAGAGTCTATATAGTGTATGTGTCTTTACATGAGCATGTGGGGCATACGCACAGCTCTCAATCTCCAGGGAGCAGGTCTGTGTGTCCAGAGGGAAACGGCTTAGGTCCATGCTGCACATAGCGGTCACTGTCACCCTGTGAGACAATTGGAAATTACTGCTTGTGTGTGTCTAAACAAATGTCTGAAAGTTTAGCAAAACTTTGTAACAAAGCAAAAGGTTTTTTAATGCTCAAGAACTATTGGTCATAAAATAAAATGGCAATTGTAACATAATTCCAAAGGATGTATGAATAATAGTTCTGCCGGATTGTTTCAAGGCCAGCCTGCCGTCTCAGAGCAGGTCCACCTGAGGCACTGTGTGAGGGCTGTAGTGCAGATTTAGTTTGCAGCAGAGATGATAAATGAAAATACATAATCCCGCTCACAGGATCAGCCCAGCCGTCTGTGGGAGTCTGCAGCCCCCGCTCCAACTCCCACCCACCCCCAGTAAAGTGTCACTGTCCAATCTGCCCTCACTCCCACCCCCCAGATTAACCCAGCCATGTGATCAGCGCCTTATCTACTAGTTACTATTCAACTCTGCAGTTCCATATGCAGAGCATGTCCATGTCTGATGGAGTGAGCATGTGGTGCTCAAGTGTATGTGTCATAATGAAGATTAGACTGGGGCTTTTATCCTGATTATTAGCCACCTGCTTTCACTCATATGTCTCTGTCTTATTATCAATATCTATATTAAAATGGGACAGTAGGCTGAAGCTGCTGCCATGTGATGTGCCTGGTGCCAATTGGGCGACTGTGTTATGAGTGGAGCATTGGGCTGTGGGCCAGCTGTTCCTCTCAATGTGGATTACACTACAGACCCGGATGACTCTCCAAAATTAAAAAGGTCGAGCTGCGTAGCTTTAGCACTGGTAATTGGCACAGCCTTATACTGAACACACATCTTGTGAAGCAGCAGCTGGTACCTTGGATGGCCAACACACCACTAACACCCTAACATGCCCCAGTGAGCCCTCCACCTCTTCTTAATGTTCCTGGTGAGAAGTAAATGATGTACAGGCATACAAGAGTAAAGAAAGCACAATAACCATTCAAATATGATGACTGTGTAATATTCTGAACTTCTTTTTGGGTCCAAATTCTCATAATGCTGTTCATAATTACTCTGGAAACCATGCGCAGTTCACCCTGCTACGGTCTCTGCATTTTGACAGCTGTAATCCATTTAGACCTCACATATTCCATACTGTTCTCTTAGCTTTGTAGAATCTCAGCATGTCTTAAAGTTATATGTGCTCTGCATATGTGAAGCTCTACAAAGATTAGAGCATGTTCAAGTATGCACTGAAATGACCCAGGGCTGACCAACCGGAGGCTGTAGAGCACTTTGCCATCAGGATACACTCGCAGCATCACGTTGTCGGTGGTGGTGTCATGTGTGAAGGACTTTTTGGAGTGGACAAAGAACATATCAGGCACCCAGATCTTCTTGACCAGACGCCCATCAAATGTCATGCTCTGGTTATGGTTGCTATGAAACGACAGGCGCTCATCCTTCCAGTAGTGCCGCAGGTACAGTGTCATAGTGAAGTCCTTCAGAAGACAAGATCATGTTAGATAAATTTCCAAGACACAACTGAGGTGTTGTGTGAAACTGACAAGGAAGAGTAAATCCTTAGTAAGCAGCAGAATTCTTGTTTCTTATTTTTTATGAACAATGAATTCATTTTGACAACTAATTTCACCAAAAAAATATGTATTTAAGATTTAACTATTTAAGTGAGGTTTACTTCCTGGTTGGACAGGGGCAGTAGATGTGACAGTAAGCAGAAGTTCTTAATTAGCATCTATACTGGACCAAAGCTTACCTGACTTACACAATAGTTATATATAAAGTTATATAATAGGCCTAGTCATTACATGATGATTAAATGTAAATTATGGTACCTTAATGTTATTACAAGAATGAATGTTCAGTGATTTCACATGACATGAGTTATCTGTTATCATTTTACCTATGTAATCAATATATTTTAGGACTTCCACTTCTATCTGTATGTTTTAAAACTTTTTTTCCACACATTATACACCACACTGGTGTTATCCCGTCATGTTATAATTACAAAAAAACATGAACACCAGCTTTTTGCACTTTACATGAAACTATCTAAAATAGGACAGTAAGACACTGCACAGAAAATCACTTTGAACAACAATATATCCAGGTAATCATAATGTTTTACCATGTCAACTTCAGATATGGCGTCGAGACTTTCTACTTGGACATCCACTCCTACTGGAACTGCGGGGCCTGAAACAGCATAAAAGCGGTGTTATGTAATGAAAGAAAGAATGAAAGCAGAGGGGAGACAGATGTGGCCCAGGTGCTTCCCAAACCCACAGATTATCTCCAGCTCAAGGTCGTAACCCCTTTTTCCCAAACCTTTTTGTTTTAACTGTAACTTGAGCTCATTTTGATCCAAATCCTATAAAAGCTATGTGGTACAGATTGTCTAAAAAAGCCACAGAGCAAAGCAATAATCCTGGATGATATCATGGCGTTAATGTCCAAAAACAATTTTTAAAATGTGTATTGTTTAATTGTCAATTTGTGATTTTGGTTATGGCAGAGTAGTTAGCAGTACCTCACCTCCAAAGCCAGGTCTCATGGTGAAGTCGTGGTCATTGATCCTCAGCAGATGCTCTGATTTGGTCCCCCAGGATTTGGTTATGTCTGGATTACGCTTCTGAATTGTGCTGGAATGGACAACAATAGACTGTCAATACTGGTTACCTACAAATAGAAAAATAAAGAAATGTGAGAAAATGTCCTCCTTCTGAATCTGACTGACTGACTCTGGCTAAACTTAAATGTCAACACTACATTTACATTCTACATTTACATTTTTTAAAGAAGACTTAAATATAACATACATCATGATTTTACATTTTCTTCATTGTAAACAGCAATATTGATCTGTAACGGTTTGAGATCAGGTTATGGGCCATAGTGAACTGAGAGCTGATGCCCTGATGCTGACCTGAACCATACGAGCTTCTGTGGAGCTAAACAGGGTCCAGGTACATCGGGGAATCCAAGCCATTTCATTTGAATTGATTTATTTACTAGGACAATAAACAATCACATTAGGTTCATATGCAGAATTTTCTGTGACAAACTGTAGTTGTTCTGGGCTGTTTTTAATCAGTTTTCCATATAGTCTTTTTGGCTCAACCAGTGACAGCCTAGGTGTTTGGCGTAAATTCAACACATGGTAACTTTTGGTCAAGGTGCATGTACACAGCATGTATGCGGCACAGCAGTCACAACGCACTTTCTGTCAAGCGCATTGGGAGCTGTGCATTGGGTAACGCTATGTGTATAACCATATTTATTTATTCACTAGCTAGGACCACAGTCTTTTCAAAACCAAAATAAAATGTCTCTAAGTACTGATTTCACGAACATAAACAAGACATAATTTTAATCTATGCCATTTAACAAGAAGTAATCAAATTTCTTCCCCCAAAGTCTTAACTATGCTCCAAACCAAATGCTTTCACCTGACAGAAGATTAGCTGTAGACCTCAATTTAAATATCATTGACAATTAGAAATAACTAAATCTCGATCTTTCTATCTTTCAATTAATTGCCCTGCCCGAGCTTCAGTGATGAGAAAAATTCTGTTTTCACCTATCCCCTAGTTCCGCCAGGGCAGGGGTGTCAAACTCATTTTGGTCCGGGGGCCGTATCCAACCTACTTTGATCCCAAAGGGGCCGGATCAGAAAACTCATGGCATATAAACCCCAAAAATAACAATAACTTCAAATATTTTTGCAGAGAAACGCAAATCTATTACAGAAATCTTTTTTAATTGATGAACTCTTTCTTATTATAATATTATAATATTATGAACACTGTTGGGCAAGTTACTTTAAAACTGTAATGCGTTATTTATTACTTATTACTGTCATTTCAAAGTAATTCGTTACATTACAATATTACTGCATTTAAAATGTAAGGCATTACATTACTATTGCATTACTTTAAGTTACTCTCACCAAAATAACTGCGAAAAAGCTGAACTTTTGAGCCTTATACGGACTGAACCAGGACTAAACCAGAGCTGAACCAGGACTAAACCAGGACTATAACAGGACTAACCTCAGACTGATTCCAGGACTGAAGAGGAGGACTAAACCAGAACTGAACTAAGACTAAAACAGGACTCACTGTCAGGACAGGCTCGAAGGTGACCGCAGGAGAAAGGAGCGGCTTTGCTCCGCACCTCATGGAGGTAAGAGCTGCTGTCACCCTGCTGCGGGGGCTCGCGGTCCTAATTTCAGCAACTATTTACAGGTACACGACCTGGTGCAAGATTCTGCTACATCGCATAACTTCTACCTTCCTTCAACGTGTCCAGAAGTCCAACTTTTTGTGCGATGGTTTGCATTGTCCTCTGTCTTTTGGGTGTGAGCGCAGGAGACTTTGTCGGTGCAGAACATTTCGTCGACGTTGTGGATTTTGTCGGAGAGAAAACTTGCAGACATATAGCACTTCAGAAGCACACTGCTAGAGATTGAACATTTATTTAAATTTGGCAGCTGAACATATTCTGTACTGTACTGTACAGTAGACAGGAGTCCCTTAGCCGATCAGGACACAGCGGGAGGAACGCAATACGTGTTCATACAATAAAAACAAAAGGCATGCAAAATTGCACAAAAAAAAAAATTCTAAAAATCAGCGAAACAGCGAGACCGCGAAAAGTGAATCGTGTTAGAGCGAGGGACGACTGTAAGCCAGGTCTAAACCAGAAGTGACCCAGGTCTAAACCAGGTCTAAACAGCGTAGAGTTCTGGGTCGGTCCTTTCGCCCGCGGTTAACTGAAGGTCTGTCCGGCCGCGTCTCCGGCGTTTCACCGCTGCTGATTTCACGGTGATTTTAGCGAATTTCTATGAAGAAAAACCCACCACTTCAATCCAGGTTAAAAAAGCATTGTAACGCGCGTTACTCACATTTGTACCGAGTAAAATATTACAAATTTTCCCCCTGTAATGCCTTACATTACTGCGTTACAGCAAAAATCAACGCATTACTGTAATACATTACTTTTATAATACATTACTCCCAACACTGATTGTGAACAACCAGAAACTTGAATAAAAATTCAATTTCAACACAATGTTTTAACAATAACTTGTATGCAAACAGGAATAAGTCAATTTTTCTTTCAGTGTCCACTTTTCTCATGTTGGACATTTTGTTGATGAGGGTGTCACGGTCAACAGCCAAAACGATCGTCCTTTAAGAGCGTTTGGAAAGAGACAAGTCTTCATTTGTGCTGCTCTGGTGGGAAGGGCCACGTACAGAGACGCTGGAGATGCTGCTATGCTCAGCACTGCAGAAAATTACCAATATTTTAATAGAAAATATAATTAAAATATTTTAGTAGAAAATCACCCAAGGGCCACTTTAAAGGTCTTGGAGGGCCGGATCTGGCCCCCGGGCCTTATGTTTGACACCTGTGCTCTAGGGTATTAATTCTGGAGAACTCTTGACCTGAGACTACCTGAACCTTCACAAACAGTTACTACTCTGCTGTCAGTGTGTTTGTGGATCACAGGATAGTAATCTTATGAATTTCCTAATTCTGAAGGATAAGAATGGATTATATTGGGCTTAGTCAAATACACGAAAGAAGCCCGCCACACGCTGCACACAATAGTCTGATTAAAATGTTGACTGCAGCTCTAAGTCCAGTTTAATCTGAAGAAGACCATGACTCTAATTGGAACAAAAACTCTGTTCCTACCTGCCAACCTTCCCACTGGAGTCCTCTGATGATGCCATCTCCCTCTTTGCCCTGAAACAAAAAACAAATTACACAATTCAGTTATGTAAAGACCAAGTTCTCTGGGTTAACTTAGACCATAGATCTTATTCTGTACACAGTGGTGCTATTATAAAGAACAAATACCGTTTTTTTGGGCATTTATTCTTTGTGGATGTTCACAGTGATTTGTATATTTTCAATTCACATGGCCCTCATGTCATAACCAGACACTCAGGGAGAAAGAGACTGTCTTCTCTATGGATACAATAGCATTATGTAATAGCAGAGTAGAAGGCTAATCAACAGCAGTAATTTCCTATGCAACTTCTTTCCATTTTAGAGATGCAATGGTCAACTAGGCCTGTCACAATAAATACTAAATTGACTTATTGTTCAATATATAAATGCTGAAACTATGGGGGAATCTTACATTCATTTTATAGTAAGATATGCTTATATTCTTTATTGATTATTAATTTTCTGCATTTGACCTATCTTCAACCAGTACTGCTGGGGCGACCTGCCAGGACTACTACTGTACAGTGCTCAGGGACCCATGTCCATGATCTTGAGCTAGGATGACCCAAGAATCAAACACAGAACCTTGTGGCTGTTAAGCATGAGTGTCTGTCAGTACAGTGTTAGTGTACCTTCTATATTATTGTTTATGGTGATACTTTTATGTAGCAATCTATTGTGACAAGCCTAACAGCAGAGTACTGTCTGCTCACATCTGCAGCTACATTTGAAGGACCAATTGCTGTAGGCTTGATAACACAGAGGTCAAAGGTCAGGACCGCACAGCGACACCAGTGGACCTTTAGACAACCTAGGACATTAGAACACTCAGATTGCTCCAATGTTTCAATTAGATACTGGCCAATAAATTGCTGATACTGATTAGTTTCTCCAAATTTTATGAATTGAAATTACTACAAACTCATCCACAACCCAGTTTTACTACAAAGTGGATATGAAAGCTGTTTAGTCACATTTTGTGCTGTGTCGTCTTTGCGTTAAAATGTTCAAATCAAGCATTATGCATATTTTTTTAGGCAGGTATCTTTGGCCCAAACAATAGCTATATAGATAAGCAGCTGATTAAAAAAAATGCAACTTTGAAAAATCTGCAGTATAAATGTTCATAAAATGTTCTTTCATATAAATTTTAAATTGCATCCTTTAAAATATTTTTTTAAAATAGTAATGGGCATCAACCCTCAATATTCTTCAAAAACCAAAACCCTTGACAAGATTATCAGAGTCATGTGTGAGTTAGAGGGGACAGACAGGGACTTTACCTGGCCATCGTAGAAGATGTGATTTATGTGTTATGATTGTGACAATAACAAGGGCACTTGCATTTTTTCTGAATTAATTTCATTGTACACAAACCTTCCCAGTCTTATCTTGAAACAAAATGAAATTTTACAGCACACAAAATCCTCATTATTTTAACAACACCTTTTCATAATGGAGTTGTGAACAATAAAAGTGCAACAGATGACCCTTGGCTGGCTGAGTAAACAGCTGAGTGAGTTGTCAGATGGCCTAAGCTTTTCAAATTTAATTTTGTTGACAGATGCCTAGCATACAGACAAATACTAGAGGATTAAACAATTTCCAATATATTCCACCTATCTGCTTCCTCCCCAAATGCTTTTAATTGCTCTTCTTCTCTTTTCTAGGATCAGCTCTCACCACAACACTAGCAATAATTCAGAAAGCACATTACCACAGTCAGATTAAATTACATAATCAGAATAAGTGATTTTCAAACAGGCACATCACCTTTTTATTGCAGCTCAGATTGCACATGATCCACCAATGCATTGTTTGCAAATGACGGTAACAAAAGATGATGTATAGACCCAACCAGATCCAGCTGGTTCACAAAATTAAGTATTTATTTGGTACATTAAAAGTTCACAGAGAACAAAGTTGTGATTGTGAATAGAAATATAATTGTATATTTCTGAACTTTGAGAATTGACTGTTTATTGTTTTTTGTTTTGACTAACTAAACGGTGACCAAAATAATTATGCACAATTTAACCTTATTGCACAGTACAATCTTAATTGATTGAGTAACCTCAGTTTCACGATCAGTCTCACGAATGAAAAAATAATCTAAGCGCTGTCCTGGAAAGACAAAGTATCCTTCACATGTGTTCTCAGAAGATGAATTACCAAAAAAGGAACTGTATACATCCATATAGCAAAGTACAGTGTTACAAAAGACAGGAAAAATAAATTTAAAAAGCGGATATGTAGGAGGCTCTTAAGGAATCCGCTCAGAAGATAACATGAGTTGAATCATGATTCTGCAACTTTTTGTGCAGATAAACTTAGGCCTACGCAACAGGTATGACCATGCACTATGCACTATGTAATGCATAGAGTGATTAAATATGGCTTTCATTACTTGGTTTTTGCCACAACTAAAGAGACTGTAAAATCCCATGCTCCCATAACGAACCGAGGCTTTTTTACGGGCACTAATACACACCTTAATGCGTTACTTTGCACTCCCTATAATTCAGCTTTTTATAGCGTAAAATATGCATAATAATACAAGCTTCATGGGCAAGATCTCACCTGACTTGTCTGTAGGGCTGGAGCGGGGCCCCTGCGCGCCTCTGGCCGCTGACCCCCAGTCCCATTAGGAGTAGAATAAGTACGAACACATCCGTGTGCATGGCCATTCAGAGCTCCACACACCTGTCAAAGCTCTCACTGGGGCCACTCACTCCGGGCCCGCGTCCCGCTCTGCTCTCGCGGACATAGCCAGCAGTGTGCACGGACTGCGGCTTTAATCTGTGAGAGGGAGAGTTCTTCATAAATCCTGAGCGTCAGAGCGCGCTCATCCTGACGCATGCAGGGCGGAACAAGTGCGGACTCAGACTACTCTGACCCGGTCCACTTCAAAATCGGGGGGTACAGAGTTTCTTTTATGAGCTTTTGAGCAACCTGTCACATTAATAAAGAGATTATCAACGACTGCTATATTATTAGGCATCGATGAATAAAACCAGCGCCTGTATCAATCTTGATTTCATATTTTGTCAACAAAATAAGCTCTTTGGATTCTGGGGCGCTCAATGTTTTCATTTTGATGAGCACTTACAACAGTCAATGATAGCACTCAAGTGCTATGAAGTGCCTCAACCTCCGAGATCAAATCCAAAGAGCACCGCTCTCTAACACATGAGGCGTGTGCAGGACACGGTCTATGATGCAGGATTACCCACATGAACAGAGGACAGGAAGGTGATGCTTACCCAGTGTATGCCTAATTTCAATAACAAAAAAGTTGATAGTCAATATATTTATCCCGTGTATAATTTGTGCTTGTGCGCCACCTACTGTACAGTATTTGCTACCACAGAACATGGGTTTAACGCGAATAAACTCCGAAGAATAGATGTAGAGATTAGCGCCATGTGACGTGATCATATGATCTGATCTGGATTCAGATTATACATTGATGTCATGTGATTTGTATTTTGTTCACTTTAATCAATTTACATAAAATTTACATAATCAGCACACGTTTTGCTTCCAAATGGCATGTAGGTTAGAGGCCAAATTTGTAGGCCAAATTTTATATTTGTCTATTGACAAACAACCCCATTGCCTGCTTTTAGGGGTAAATTTGTATGATCCCTATTCCATGCTCTCTATCCTTTGGTAACACACATTTTATGACTCTTTATATGGCCCTTGCTCTGGATCATGAGTGATACCCCCCTCCCCCAGTCCAACACCCATGGCTTGCTAAAGAAGTCATGCATTTTTAATATGCAAGTATGCCTGGGTCATATCCTATTGCTAATGATATATGACTATAATTCTGGGAAGCATTATGAAATTGAATTTCACAATATAATTTGCACGGGCACTGTAGCCCATAGAGGACCTTTCACACTTAGTGGAAGCACTAGAGTACAGGATACAATTATTAGTATTTTATATAGGTATGTAGTTTTATATAGTTCTCTTTCTTTAACACCATGATATTTTAGGTCATATTTCCCGGCTTTATCCAGATGCGAGCTGAATTAGCATAATCTGATTTGATGATCATAGTCTTCTGTGTTCATGCATCAACCACTGTGCTTCCTGTCAACAGAACGGTTTTTAGTTTTTAATTACTATGCAAATGGGCTGCTTATGAAGCTGACAATGGCTATTCTTAAATTTCTTAATTACACTGAAAGATTAAAGGCTTTGTGAACCAAAAGAATATCGCCACCCTTGGGAAGGGAGATCAGACAGATTCTCGGCTGGCACTACAAAAAAAAAAAAAAAAAAAAAAAAAAAAGCATTAAATTTCCAGACTAGCCTACAAAACTAAGCAGCCTTTTGTACTTGGTTTTATTGTTATGATGTAGTGGAATGTTCACCAGGTAAGCCCACACTACATGCACTACAAGCACTCATGCACTCTGCCAGATCCTATAACAAAAAATAAAACACACTGATCTCACTCAAACCCCAATTCCAGCAGACAGACACTAATTAATAGGACCAGATCAGTGGAGCCTCTGCAGTTCAGTAAATTCTGGAGGTTCTAAGATTTCATATGAAACATAATCTGTCTGTATTACTTGAAAGGATTTAAAGGCATAAGATTACTATGGTAAATTAGTGGAACACCTAACAAATAATGGTAGGGTTCAACATTTCAAAAACAGTCAAGATTCCATAAAGTTATGTAACTGTAAATTCTAGTGCTTGAAAGCAACCTATTCTCGGTGGCTGTGAATTATGTGTAACATGAGAATGAGGATTTGGTATATACTGTAATAGGTATGGGCAGGCACAATGGAAAGGACATGATTAATGAGAATGGAAAAGGTTCTCTTTTGCACATTCAACAGCAAGGGAGCCTCAGTCAGACTAACATTTGTCAATAACCACAGAGTTTAAAAATAGTTTAGAATGTGTAGTGAAATTATTTCAAGTTCATAGATAGATGATCTCGATAGACTTTAGGAAAGCAAAGTATATTGATAACAAAACTGAATAAAAATTTTGACCAGATTTAATTAAATTATTTTCTAAAGTCTAATTTAATCAGTCATTCAAATTTGGCAGCATAAATTTTAGGTTTTAATCACATCAAAATATATGATCATTTGTTATTGGGTTTCATGGACCATAATCGGCACTAGAGCAAAGTATTCCCACTCACATATATTTAGGCTGCTCTACACTCATGGCAGTGACTATGCCCTGACTCAGTGATGCATAAGTGATACATGTGACCGCCAAAGTGCACAATTTGTAAGTATGAAATGAGCAAAGTAGCTTTGAGCAAAGACATGGTGTCCTTTTACCAAACAACAAATGAGTTGTTATGGTGTCCCCAAACAACATGACTAAAGCATACAACTTTTGTCATGCTGTCTGGAGTCTTTTTTGTAATCATTTGAGGCTGAATGAGGCCTCACAAACTTCTTTCAAAACTATAAGGCTCTCTCTTGTAGTCCATACTCCATAGGTATGTAAGTTGTATATGTTCCTTATTCCCTTTCTCCCATTAGGCTCTAGCAGGCTATGTTTTTTTAGAGTGAACTGCAGGCCTAGGCTCCAATGCTCTATCGGATGTCCTATATTAGACATTATAATTGGATCAAAATATTATTTAGACTACTGAGAAATCTAGGAGGTGGGTCTAGTCAGAGTCAAGTCTTGTCACTTTTAAAGGTGCACTGTGTACATTTTGTAGTGGTGGTCCACCACTGACTCGTCTCCTTGGAGGTGTTATTTTTTTGCCTGGAATGTCCTGGTATGGCATTAAACATATTAATCTTGCATTTACATAACATGTTTTTTTATTTTATCCAACTCTCTTTCACTGCTCCACCAAAAGCAGTAAAGGCAACACCAGCACACTGAAAATACCACAAAGCCGCAAGCTTCTAATCGCCATCTGCTTACTTTTATCGGGAGACATCCATCAGTGCCCGGGGCCTCCCAAAAGACTCACTGTTTCCGAACCCCCAACCATCTCCACCAGGGCGGCCCAAAACAACCATCCTGTCCACTACGATGCCGCTTCAGACTCACCTGTGGGCCGTGGTGGGCCGGTGCGGGCCCCCCGTTTGGCTAGCCGGGCGCCGCCTGCGCCTGTCGGCCTCTGTGGCTCGTCTGCGGTGGCGGCGGGCTTGGCGGGCGGCGCGGAGCGCAGTGGGGCCCGGGGAGCCGCGTTCGTGACACCTCGTTCCACTGGATATAACTTCCCCTTGGATAAATCCACCGCATCACTTGCCTCTTCACCGTCGATCCCCAGCGGATCTGTGAGGACAGTCGTTGGAGACCGGGACAGGCTCAACACGACGGTCGCGGCCGCTGCAGCTACCGCAGCTAGCGGAGCAGCTAAGAGGCTAAAAACAACAACACGTGCCGGGGGTCTTGGAACAGCTGATCCGATGCCAGCGCCTGTTGAGGACCTAAACGGGTTCGTATCGCAAACGCAGCCTGTACTAAACAAACGTCCAACTCAAAAAAAGGCTAGAAATCCCGTAATGAGAAGGCACCGGGAGACAAAGATTTTAAAGACACTTAACCAGGCTAAATTAATCTGGGACTCGAAACATAAACCGAAGGGGCTCCTGTGCGCTCATATAAACATACGCAGTATGCTATCAAAGCATGAGCAACTGGATCACATATTAAGTGACTCAAACATTGACATTTTAGGACTATCAGAAACTTGGCTCACAAGCTCATCTCCTCACTCTGGTGTTGTATTTCCAAATTACAAGGTGTTTAGAAAGGACAGAATCGGAGGGAAAGGAGGGGGGGTATTACTATATGTAAAAAATGACATGGAATGCTCCCAACTTAGTGTACCCAACGAGGTCGAGATAGAGAATATCTCAGTGAAAGTCTCTCTCTCTCCAGAGATGACTTTCACTTTGATTTGTCTGTATCGTCCTCCCTCAGCAAGAATTAACTTCTATGAACAGCTGCAGGCTTTACTTAAGCACCATATCATACAAAATAAGTCGAATGAAATAATCATAATTGGTGATTTTAATGTGAACTGGGACTGTAAGAAGGACAGAAAAACACTTAAACGTACTATGGACACCCTCAATTTTTCTCAACTTATAGAGCAACCGACAAGAATCACAAGACATTCAAAAACTAAAATAGACTTGCTCTTTAGTAACAAGCCTGAACGGATAACTAAATCATATAACTTTCTCACTGGTATCTCAGACCACAATTTTATATTATTCTCTAGAAAACTTATCAGGTCAAGGGTCACTAATGATTTTACTAATCCATCTAATAACAGGTCAATAAATGAGTTTATACCAAGGAACCAACGACAAAATGTGGCAGAAGCTTTATCATCAGTAGACTGGGAATCAATCCTGTCCAGTGACGATCCTCAATTCTGTAGCTGTCAACTCATTAAAACTGTAAAAGAGGTAATATCAACATTCTCCACTAAAAGAAAGTTAAAATTAAAGAAAAAATTTAACTTGCCATGGCTGAACAAAGAATGTAGGAATTTGATGAAAAGCAGAGACCAGCTACTAAAACAATTTTTGAAAACTGGATTAACTATAGACAGACAGAGATTCACTCATATACGAAATAAAGTTACTGCAAGTTTAAGACAGGCAAAGGCTAACTTCTTCATCAATGTAATAGAGAATGCAAAAGGCAATGGTAAAATTATTTGGCAACATCTAAATAAATTGCTTGGCCGTCAATCAAACAAGAACGAAAAGACGATGGAGCTACATGTCAATAACTCCATTGTTAAAGAGCCTCTCTCCTTAGCCTTTCATTTAAACAGTTTTTTCATAACCTCCGTAAAGGAGATCACTCAACAATTCACTCCACCTGCCTGCTCTCATCATATCAGTGACCCTGATCAGGACATGTTCAGGATCACTGATATTTCAGACCATGAAGTTGCCAAATTAATTACAGGCTTGAAAAATTCAAAAGCACTTGATGCATTTGGTTTAAACACAACTCTTCTGAAAGAATTTAAGGATCCTCTTGTACGACCCATCACCCATCTCCTCAATATGTCTTTCAAATTTTCTGTTGTTCCAACTGATTGGAAAATAGCTGCAGTGACACCAATTTTTAAATCAGGTGCTAAAACAGACATGGTTAATTATCGGCCTATAAGCATACTTCCAGTTATATCTAAAATAGCTGAGAAGTGGGTAGTCAAACTCCTTAAAGCTCATTTAGAAAACACCCAACCCTCACTACACCCACTACAGTTTGGCTTCCGAGCTCATCACTCCACAGACACTGCCCTGTGTGTGCTAACAGAAAACATAAAGAGCTTGCTTGATAAGAGTCCCTGTGTTGGAGCTGTCTTCTTAGATCTGAAGAAAGCCTTTGACTCCGTAAATCATCAGATTCTACTGTCCCGGTTGACTCAGTTTAACATCTCCAGTCAAGCTCTCCAATGGTTTACATCATATCTGTCACACAGGAAACAGTATGTGGTAGTTGATGGGGTAAAATCTCAATTGTTGGATTCTGATGTTGGTGTCCCACAGGGCTCAATCCTTGGGCCTGTGTTATTCTCCCTCTTCATCAATAATCTGCCAAATGCTTGTCCAAATACATTTTCACAGATGTATGCGGATGATGCAGTCATCTATACTCAAGCCAGAAGTTTTCAGCAAGTTGCTGAGGACCTCACAGTTGCCTTATCATCTGTGCATAGCTGGCTCAAGGATTCGTGCCTTCTGCTAAACACCAAAAAAACTGTCTGCATGTACTTCTCAAAACGTCACACCGATTTGAAGCAATCAAACGTTTTTCTTAATGGAGTTGAACTTGATCTGGTCTCAGAATTTAAATACCTCGGAGTAATTCTAGATTCAACACTATCCTTCAAAAGTCATGTTTTAAAAAAGTATCCCAGGTTATCCAGTTTAACATTCAGAACTTCCGTCATATCAGGAATAACTTAAACATGAATGCTGCAAAAACTTATTTCTATTCAATGATTATCTCTCACATCGATTACTGCTTAACTACTTGGTCTCTTGCCTGCCCCACAACACTTAAAACCATTGAAAACCTATATAAAAGAAGTCTAAAAATACTTGACAAAAAACCCATTTCCCACCACCACTGTCACATACTGAAAAAGCACAGGCTTCTGGATTTTAGCAACATGGTCAAACTCAAAAGGACTTGTCTAATTTATAAGGTTCTACACTCCCTGGCACCACCACCATTAAATAATTACATTAAACGTAAAGACATTTCAATAAGAACCACACGAGCCACCACCAGGGGTGACTTGGTCATACCCCAGAGACGGACCACCTTTGGTCAGAATGTGTTATCTGTACAAGGTGGAAATCTGTGGAACAGTCTTCCACTGACCCTGAAAGAAAGCCCCACATACAGCTCTTTTAAAGCTCAAACAAAAACTTGGTTATGGTCAAATCAAACATGTACACATGTATAACTGCACTGTGATTTTAATTGTTTTTCTATGTGTAATGAATGGGAACTGTGCAATAATGGGAACTGTGCAATGAATGGGAACTGTGCAATGAATGGGAACTGTGCAATGAATGGGAACTGTGCAATGAATGGGAACTGTGCAATGAATGGGAACTGTGCAATGAATGGGAACTGTGCAATGAATGGGAACTGTGTAATAATGGGAACTGTGCAATGAATGGGAACTGTGCAATGAATGGAACTATATAATGAGTGGAGTGTGCAATATTTTAGTGTCTGGCCCCCTGTGACCCCAGCCCTTGGGACAACGGATGGAAATTAGCCTTAGGCTACAATCCGGTGTGTTTACATTCATGTTGTCATGTTTGTTCATTAACATGCTCTGTCCCAATCAAATAAATAAATAAATAAATAAATAAATTGACGTAAAATGTGTATTCTTACTGTGAGTGGGCTTGTCTCTCCACAGATCTCATATGTAACTTGGCTCTGTGGTGTCACCCGCTGTCTCTGTAGAGCTAAATAAGGATAATGCCATATTGCGGACAGATTCTATTCAATATCTCCATGGGGAGAAGCAGATGATGAACACTCCACCAGAAAAGTTACACAGTGCAACTTTAACATTTTAAGGCAATTTCAACAAAATAAACAATATGTAAATGAATTATGGCAAGAAATATCATATATACCACTGCTTCTTGAGAGCAAAATATGAGAACAGTAAATATTGTTTTATTATAGACTTCATGGTGTTTTATTATGAAAGGACGTCATGTTCTTCCTGTTTACGTTTATCAAACTTACGTCAGGCTTATGGTACTTTCGATAGGATATATTGACCGTAAGTAAATACTATATTTAATATTTAAAATACTGTCCTGCAGTGGGTCCGAGGACAGTGTAAGCCGTGTGTTCGGCTCGGTCACAGGGCCGGAGGGCGATTACAGTCTCATTTGGACCAAACACCAGAACTAGCTCTGCTAACTGCAAACGTCAACCGCTAGCTTTGCTTGCTAGCATCCAGACCAACTCCAGATCACCTGCCGGGAAATGGCTTCTAACATGGAGCGTAAATACAACCTCAAGAGTCCAGGTGAGCAATCTTCAAACCTCTTTGAGGTTCCTACATTTGACTATAACGTCAACCATTTAAGATTACGAGACTGTCAACTCAAGTCAACTCAGAATACCACAGTTTGAAGCCTCGACTTTTACTGTGTACTAACCAACCTTTTACTGAGCAATTACTCACTTCTCATAATTGGCTTGTTACACATTTGAATACAGCAAGCCAATTGATTTAATATTATCATCACCACAACCTCTAATTGTAGAAGTAAATACTGTATTTCACACAGAGGTGGAGATGTCCACATTGGCTGTCAATATGATATTGAGCATCAGCAATGAGAACAAGTTAGAAAATGGACACTAACAGTTCACTGCAACCTTTGGATGGGTTGTTTGAGGTGGGCCCCTGAAAGCACATAGACTTGGATTTTGTGTCGGCCTCAGTAGCACTCTGAGCGTACATTTGTCAGATGAAAGGACAGAATTGAGGTTATGCCACGTCTCTTTAGGTGAGCAGGTGCGTGCATCTCACAGCTGCAACTTTCACTTCTTCAGTCTGTTATTGGCCCTCAGAGAATACAGCGATTTGAAGTAATTGCCTTTGAAATTCTAGTTTAGTTAAGAGACTAGTTTAGATATATTTCAACACTGAAAGTTAATCTTAACTTTCTATTGTTGGGTTGATGTTTGGAAAGGTCTTATCTAAATCATTGTTCACTGTAGCCACATTACATGTTGCTAGATTGTGTAAACAGTTTGTATAAAGATGTACTGACTTCCTGGATCATTACTGGATGACATCATCATCATAGTTTTACAGATGTGTTTTGGGGGATAAAACAGGGACTGCATCTAATTTTTAAATAAGCATTTTTAACCAACCTAGACAGGATGGTATTTTCTGATTAGGGATTTTCCTTATTATTTGAGAAAACCTCCACTTTTTTCTCTGCATGTACTTGAGCTCATGAGCCTATTGCTTATGCCAGAGTAACCACAACATCCCATCTACCTGGTCTGTTTACACTGTTGATAGCCTCTGATGGTTCACTCCATGTTACATAATAAAGTGGTGTGATGTGAGAGCTGAATTATGAATCTGCTCTAAAGACTTTTCAGTTGGCAGGCCACTTCTGACTTTTTTGAAAACTGTGCAAAATCAGGGTCCAAAAAGTGCTTAGTTTGGTTTGATAAACCCCCCCCCCCATGACCCATGAACCATGAAGGTACTAATCATAAACCCTTAGCCCAGTGCACGCTGAGGGTCTGTCTGGATGTTTATTTGGCCTGGACACATCATTAAAGCCACCAGATGTTTCTTGATGTGTTTACCCAAGCCCCAGGTGGCATTTGACCCCTGGTCGTTGCATGAGTATATCACAGCATCATACTGTTAGCTTGTACTGTCAACTTCTAGTAACTACACACAACCAGAAAGAAGATACACACTGTTTTATCTGGTGGACAATTATTATTATTATATTAAATATTATTATGAGCTAAGTAGTTGTAAGATGAACTAACTCTAGTTGTGTTTTTGTGACTGCAGCGGTGAAGAGGCTGATGAAGGAGGCAGCAGAGTTGAGAGAGCCCACGGAGCACTACCACGCCCAGCCACTGGAGGTCTGTTCAGCCTGTCCAGTAGATGAATGCATTCTAAACTCACATTTAAAGAATTATCCACGCAAGTAGCCTATAAACTGCACCTTCAACTAAAGTGACAGATTAATATATTTTAATAAAACAAAAAAAATTGAATTACTACTTGTTTGGTGGGATAGTATCTGAAGTAAATATTCATATTCACAGGAAGTAGCAGTGAGCTCTGAGTCCTCTCATTAATTCCATCCAAAATGCAGGGACAGGCATTTTTCTGACAGATTAAACATTGTTTAAACGGTTGATTAAAGCTGCAACAGTACCTCGCTTGGTAAGAGCGTTTGCCCACTGATCAGAACTTTGGCGAATCCTGCTCTCGACATAAACACCATTGGTTCAGCAGTCAGACCCAGTGACCCACAGGGTAGCGGTGCGATTCCAGTACCCACAGATGAATGCTCTCGTTGTGTCCCTGGGCAAGACACTTGTGGTGTGTCAATGTGTATGTGAATGAGTGAGTGGTCTCTTGATTTAAAGAGCTTTGAAGGTGGAAAAGCACTATATAAAAATATGACTATTTACCATTCAAACAAAATAAAAGTGTCACGTATTGTGATTTGTCTTGTCATAACTATTGTGTCATTTAATTATGTTTTGACCCTTGTTAACATTATGGTAGGTAACATCCAACCAGGAAGTAAAATTATAACCTTAACGAAAATTACAAAACTGGAAAAGCCAAGACAAGATTTTTAATAAAATCTTAATTTTAATGATATTAATTATGTTTTAATGAAATTAGTCATCTACCCTGTCATATGGACTCCTATCTCTCATAAACACTTTGGCCCATTGCTCGTATTCACCTGCCACCAGCACAGCTTTAGAAACGCTTTTTCAAAAGTAAAGCAGGATGAACCAGCAAAACACCAATCAGCTCTCATCCCAGACAGAATAAAGTCAGATCACTAGATCTCTGATTCTTGTCAAAAAGTTCTGCTTTTACCAAACACTGGGTGGAAAACAGAATAGTCATTTGTGAGACAAAAAAAGTTTGGTGTTTTAGCTTAAACTTTTGTTGTGTATTTGGATATTGAACACAACAATTATTCATAGTTGATTAGAATCACTATAGACACTATAATGAGGTAATATCTAAATAACTTGTTTTGTGGGTATTAAATGGTTGGTTCTGTGGTAATCCACTAGTGGTTTTCGTTCTTGCCCTCTGGCTTTTGTACACAATGTCCCACCACAGACCTCTCCCCTTAGGAGCAAGAGGTGATGGATGTGATGTGACTTGTGTATCTCCACTAGGACAACCTGTTTGAGTGGCACTTCTCTGTGCGTGGCCCCCCGGACTCGGACTTTGATGGGGGTGTGTACCACGGCCGGATCGTGCTGCCTCCAGAGTACCCCATGAAGCCCCCCAGCATCATCCTTCTCACTGTAAGACCCCCACCCTCCTATATGTGTGTGTGTGTGCGTGCGCGTGCGTGTGTGTATGGGTGTGTGTGTGTGTGTGTGTGTGTATATGGTTGTCACATTATATCAGCTGTGAAACACATGCATGTCCATATTCATCACACACACAGACACTGTAAGCGCTAGCAGCTGTCAGAATCCCTTCATTTGTCCATCTCAGCCTATGACACCCCCGCCCTCAGTAGATGTTTCCAGTGGCTGCATGTCTTAATGCATATAGGCCTTAGAAAAACATAATTCACTTCATATCCACTATCTTTCTCCACACCCTTCCCCTGTTATGAAAAATGAAAGATTTGTGTACATGTTCTTGAATTGCTTCGCTGCAGCCAAATGGGAGATTTGAAGTTGGGAAGAAGATTTGTCTGAGCATTTCTGGCCACCACCCAGAGACATGGCAGCCATCATGGAGCAGTAAGTGTGAAAATAGAATCTGTATGTTTCTCCCACACCTTTACCTTTACATGCATTCTTCCAGTATTACAAGGAAAAACAAATATTATGTCTCATGTGCTAGAAACAATTTGAAAACAATGGGTGCAAATGAGGACTGAGCTTACAAAAAAAACTAAATACAGGATACAGGTTCTTCTAGTATTTACAGGCCACATTATTAAGTTTATTTGATTCATTAAAAAGCATTTGGTGTTTGGTCTCACAGCACAGACTGGGCTTAAACTCTGACTCCAAGCACATTGTGAACCATATCTGTCCATAATCTCACACTATGTACATTTACTAACTTGAACTACTTACTGCATTTTTTTCCCCCAGTCCGAACGGCTTTGTTGGCCATTATCGGATTCATGCCGACTAAAGGAGAAGGGGCAATTGGATCTCTGGATTATACCCCTGAAGAGAGGCGAGCTCTGGCCAAAAAGTAAGATTAACCTTTGGAATGTTTGTTCTCAGTAGAGCTGTTTGTTTGTTTTCATTTCCTGCTGTGGAGCTACTCACAGCTGGCGGTTGTTTAGACCACAGTTTGTATTTGTCAATATGTGTATTCTTGTCTTAGTAATATTTTCAGAAACGCACTCTGTTGAAACTTCTTAATCTTGTAATTATGAGGTTTCTTCTTTTTAGTTTGTTACAGCTGAGCCTTGTATATCAAATTACAGCTCTAGACTTCCATTTGGTGTGATGAGCAATGTGTCCAAACCTGTAGTTCAAAATTAGAGCAGGCACTACATAGCTGTCTTCAGACATACATTATGCCCCATCGTCCTCTTCTGAGATGATAACATCACGCAGTCCCAAGGAATGTTGTTTGTCTGCTGCTGGTATAGCTTTAAATATGGACATGTTTGTGAGAGTGAAACAAAACTCAAGTACGTAAGTTCAATCCAGTCTGCTGTGGAAGTGGGTGAGTGTGAAGAAGGCAGGAGAGAGCCTGTTCCTCATTCACACTGTACCCCCCAGACACTTAGCAGAGATGTGACAGGTCTGAACGGCTGCTTCATTTGCCCCAGAGTGGAGAGCCAGAAGATGATGAGCATCCATCTGTGGTTTGGGTCACAGCACAGGGAGAAACTGGTCATGGTCACATTTCTTTTAAGGCATTTTTCCACCTTCAAAGTACTCAAGGAACCACTCACCCATTCACATACATATTCATACAGCAATTGCAGGCACTGGGGGGTGAGACAGGTTAAGTGTCTTGCCCAAGAACACTAAGTTGTATTTTGACTTTGCTCAAAACTTCTATCTCCGCCTACTCCCCTGTACTTAGTAGCAATTATTTGAAAAATTAAGACTCAGTCATACTTACCTTACTTGGATAGGGCTCAAAAATTCTTCAGTAGCTACTATTTTTCAAAAATAAAAGCACAGGAATGAAATTGCATTACTTGCTACAGTGAAATGTCACTGTGAAAGCGTTTATGAGCTTATGAGTTCTGCAATTTGAACAGGAAGTCAATAGACCCATTTTTATTATCAAGCCATTTCAGATAAGTATTGCTGTTTACAAGGAACAAAATGGAAAATGGTGTTGCTACTTATGTTAAAGTTCAAAATTACTAACTACCAGAAAAAGCATAATATGTCTTCTATAAGAAAATGTTGCTTACAGATTATTAGCATGATGATATAGAAGGAATCCTTGTTCTAACGCCTACAACGTATGACAACCGCATTATTGTGGCGCATGTGTACCATATGAATTGAATACTAACAAAGCTATTGTTGCCTCCCTTTCTCCGCACTGACCCGTGCTGTTATCTGCTATAGGTCCCAGGACTTCTGCTGTGAGGCATGCGGCTGCTCCATGCGCTCTGTACTCCTGACTGTCTCTCCCAATAGCAGCCACAGCCCTGAGGTGCAAAAGGCTCAAGAACTGGCTCAGCAAATCAGCTTCAAGGTAGAGTCTGCATGGTCTCATCTGAGTCAGAGGCAGACCTTCATCAAGTGTACCTTTCTCATTGAAATTATTATAGAATTGCCTTGGACACTGCTGTGTAGACAATCAGTAACTAATGGGAATGCTATGTAAAGAAGGTTTCAGCAGAATGCTGTTAATAGTGTTTCATTATAATTATTATTATCCATTACTGTTTTATTTTAATCATACCATCATCACCGATGGCAACCTCTAAAGGTCTTTGGCCTGTCCCTCAGGCCGAGACAAGTGTGTCCAGACAGGCCAGTGAAGATAATCCACCTGCTCTGGCTGTAAGGGACCTCCCTGATCCTGCGTCTGCTTCGCCTGAGTCTCCATCCCCCGAGAGCGAGCCTGTGACACTGCCTCCTGAGTCTGAGGTGCCCCGCCCAGTGCAGGTAATGTTTAATAATCTCAACACTGCAAGTCCTCTTTCAGGTCACTGTAAAATTGTGAGGGTTATAAAAGAGTTGCTATCTAAATGTTATATGTCTAAATGGAAAAACTGTTTGGTGATTAAATCTTAATAATTGACTACATTACAACAGAACTCAAAATGATTTTAAGTGAAAAAAAGAGAAACTATTGCAACACTCTCATGTTTCAGGCTGCCAGAAATATGTTAAGCGCAGCAACTGACTTTAGCCATGTGACAATGTAGACATTGTGTTCAATAGAATTTTATGTCATATCCCCTCATGCTGCTCATGTTTTGTGGGCAGTTGATAGATTTTGTGGTGTGCTGTTCACAGGTGGAGCCCTCGGCAGCGCCTCCTGGGAGGCCCCTGAGCCCCCGGCAGAGGCGTCAGCAGCAGCAGAGTCGTCAAGCCCAGAGGGAGCCTAGCCGTGCAGCCTTCACTGCCCCTCGCCAGGCTCCTGACAGCCACACGGGCTCTGCTGTGCTCATTGTGCTGCTCACTTTGGCTCTGGCCACTCTCATCTTCCGCAGGATCTACTTGGCTCAGGACTACAGGCTGGATTTGGACCTGTGACAGTGCTCTTTGACTCATATGGGTCAATATTCATTTTATGAACTTTGTCAAATTTATATGAACTGAAGCTCCACGCAGCTCTTTTAACACAGTGCTCTTTGACCTTTAGTTAATTAAAAGTGATGGATCAACAGCTGGTGACATGGTTCTGTTGGACTTTTTGCTTCTTTTGTGCTCCTATCATTTACTCTTGCTGTTGCATTGAAACTGTATTTTACAAACAAATGTACCATTCATCATTTTAACCTAATGAACATTGGTTTTGGAGTAATTCATGCCCATCTTAACTTTTTAATGATAAATATTATTATAATTGATAGAACTTTTTCCCTGAGAAACAGAAAGTGGGGACCAGCTAGAATAAGGACAGGAAAACGTATGTACTTTCTATGTGTTTAAACCTTGACATTGTCACTGTGAGAACCTCAGTCTGGCAGTGGGGTGGAACTCTGATGATTCTGCTGCTCAGAAGAAGTTATAATAAATGAAAAAAAAAATGTTACATGCTTGTTTTTACAGTCATAACCATACTAGTATTTACAACTGTAGCAGACACATTCAAAATTATATATCACATATTAACAGACCCATGCAGTGTAATTGTGCTTATAAAGATCTTTCTTAGATTTTTAATCAAATCCTCTGTTTCTAGAAATATCAAAACAAAGAACTAAGAAACTGTAAAACAACAGGCAGAGGCATCTTGGCCCTATAGACCCAACTGTCTTCTGCTGTGTCCCAGAAATGAAATTTTAGATTTTATGAGCTACTGGACAATTCTCCTGAAAGAGTATCAGGGCATGCACACTGTCTTCACACACCATGGATAATTAATAGGGATGTAAAGATATCCAAATCTCACGGTACGATATTTATTGCAATATTTTGGACAGGCTAATATAATTCTAGATAGGACAGTTTTTTTCTTTTAGAATACCTTGACAAGATTTTGGTGTAAATTATTACCGTCATAATCCCAAGAATTGAAGTAAAAAACATTTGTTCATGTTGATTGCACTAAAATGAATCATGGGATATGTAGTTCCTTGATGTTTATAAGCTGTTTCTACTATAAAACCCTGCGTTTAAGCAAAGGAACTGGTAATTCGATATATTGTGACAGCCCACGATATTATTGTGAGACTTTTAACAATACAGTATCACAATATTTCGGTTATTGTTACATCCCTAATCATAAATTGTGATTTCCCTTCTTATGTTTATACTAGGCTATTTTATACTAATCATCATTATCATTATTTTTATGTACAGTGTTGACTAAAAAGTTGCTTTCGTTTTGGTCCAAAATACTGAAACACCAAGGACCATTTACTGCCTAATATCCCAAGGGTGTTAACAGTGAAGGGCGCCGCTCAGTCACAATCATTGCCTCACGCTTGTGTCCTAACTTAACTCCCTGGTCAGACCCGCGCTGGACTCACTCTTTGGCCTTAGTCAGTCCACATAAGTTCCAGCTGTCACAGTTGTGTGTCAAGTGTTGGTGCTGATGCTGCTCACGAGGAGGAGTCAGGAGACCAATCAGAGCTGCGGCTGCCCTCTGATGCTGGATCACACTTCAGCGGCTGGAACATGTCTCGTGTGGCTGCGCGATCTTCACGTTACAGGATTTTGACTTTGTGATGTCGCCCTACGCCGCCCTCATATCGCTGGTGCTGGTTCTAGTTCTGGTTCTGGTTCTGGGTCTGGTCCAGGCTGCGGATGGAAGAAGAGACCGGGGTAGAAACAAGCGCTGGTCTGCGTCCTCTGAAAGCCCCAAACTCGGCTCGTAAGTATAATTCCACCATTAGACCATGTGTTTGTTTTTTAAAGATAACTAAAATAGCCTACTCCCGGAGACATGGCAAAAAGCTGATACAGCGTGGGTTTCATTGATCTTAGTCGAGGATGAAGAATCGCTGTAAGTGCGCACTTTTGGCTGTTCGACGCACGATTTGCTCTCTTAACAAAATTAAACAAACACTTCATGAATGGATTTGAGCATGTCAGCCGTGATAAGCAACGAATCAATTGATTCAATTTTAACAGGGCAGGATAAGGATCTCATTTTCAAGCAGGAGCTTGACTTGTGCTCAGAGATAAAGTCTTCCTTTACGCGAAAACAGCTCTACCATATTTGTTTCTGATTAGATGCTTTGATCATGAGCTTAAAAATCTCATGTGAAATCTCATTCAAAGCCATGTATATAGGCCACCAGGACGTTACTTTCAGTAACTAGATGTAGAAGTTGTGTCCTAGGCCATGGCATACTTAAACTCTGCACAGGGATGTACATAATCTGTTGTACACTAAATTTGATTTAAAAAAATGTCCATTGTTAACTAACTTTGTCTCTGCCCTCTCCAGACCTCTGTCTAAGAAAGTTTTGGATGGAACAAAAATGCGCAGTGAGAAGAGCAGCCACCTGCTGAGCATTGATGAGCATGACTTCACCCTGAGACCGGCCTTTGCAGGTGCTTTCCTAGAATCCAACCACTTCACTTTCTCTTTTGGTCTGAAATTCCAAGTTGTCATATAGTATAGTAAGTCCTACAGCCTCTGGACCCTAACATGAGGAGTTTTCAGAAACTTAAATGTTGTGTTTAGCAGAAATGTAACAGAAGGTGAGGTTAGATGCGGTGATATGAGTCTGTACATAATAGTGTAGGCAAACACTGGAAGTGAATGAACAGGTGGATAATAATATGTGCACTTTGAAGTCACAGAGTGGTGTTACTATTCAAAATAGTTCCAATACACTGAGAGAGAATGACTCTTGCCTTCTGCTTAATAGAAACTAGTCAAGGAAACCCGGTCTGAGTCAATGGTGAGTTAGGCTATGTGTATGACCTTAAGTCCAAGAGAGATGAACACCTTTTCAGCAGAGGCAGTGTCCCTAGTGATCTTTCAGGTTTAATATTCACACAGTGTTTGTACTCTGGGAGCACAGGGTCATCTGGAGACTCAGGCACTGTGCTCTTGCTGCATGCTCCATTTGCAGCCGCCCACTCAAGTGCCACTGTGGATTACAATGCCAACGGCATTTATGATTGGAGCTGTGGCGCAGAAACAGCCACAAAGAATATTTCTGATCTTAACCAAACTATATTCAACTTGTAATGTATATTTATGGTCTACACCTTTTAGTCAGAAACTTATGGAAACTATGGGTCAAAAGTGCAGAGCTACTGGGAGTCAGGGGATAAAATGATGGAAATAGAAAAGAAAAAAAAATGTATATCTCACTTGGATTTATTGTGCCATATTACACAATAAATCAAAGCCTGGCAATCATATGCATATTGCATTTCTTGGTGTCTTTTTGTAAATATTGTGTTCTGGATGTGAGTGCAGGCCCGGCGGTCCCAGTGGGAGTAGATGTCCAAGTAGAGAGCTTGGACAGCATCTCTGAGGTCGACATGGTGAGTGTGTATGCTATACATTTGATTGAATTAACACTCCAACCAAACTGCCTTTTTGAGTATGTGGCGTGCTGTATTTTTTTTTTATTTTGAGGATTTTACCATGACGCTGTATCTGAGACATTATTGGAGGGATGAGCGCTTGTCCTTTCCGAGCTCCATCAATAAGAGCATGACATTTGATGGGCGACTGGTCAAGAAGATCTGGGTTCCAGATGTATTCTTTGTGCACTCCAAGAGATCCTTCATCCATGACACCACAACTGACAACATTATGCTGAGGGTGTATCCTGATGGACAGGTGCTCTACAGCCTCCGGTCAGAACATAAGCTACTCATGTGTTTCTTGCATTGCCTATGCACATATACATTTTGTATAACATACTCAGCTATTTATTATTACATCACGGGTACCTGCTTTGTGCCTAAATATTATCAGAAAAAAGCAGAAAATAAACCAATATATTCCGATATTGAGGCTACACCTTAATCTTAAATGCATTAAAAGTTATGCAATAATTGTCTGTGTGCTGTCCCACAGGGTGACTGTGACTGCTGCCTGTAACATGGACTTGAGCCGCTTCCCCTTGGACTCGCAGACATGCACGTTGGAGCTGGAGAGCTGTAAGTGTGGTTCTTCTCTATTCACCCTAAACATGAAAGAACCAGTGCACAGCACAGGCCTTAGTCATATGGGGAACACCACTGCCTCCTTAAAGCTCCAGAAAGGAGTGTGTCCTTCCACTGGTAAAGTTCAACTACTGCAATAATGTTAATGCTATATGTTCTTGTTTGATATAGATATTGATGTTACCAGTGGAAATCAAACCACCAGTTCAGTTAATGAATTCATGACAGTGTGTTGTCAGGTGAATGAATGCTTACTGTCCTTGATAGTATTGTGGACATGGTGGTGTTGCAGATGCTTACACAGATGAGGACCTGATGCTCTATTGGAAAAGTGGTGATGAGTCTCTGAGCACAGATGAGCGTATCTCTCTGTCCCAGTTCCTCATTCAGAAATTCCACACCACGTCACGCCTGGCCTTCTACAGCAGCACAGGTACAGGCTCTGTCTATACTCCACAAGGAACAGTATCTGCGGTCAGTCACTGTACTCTACTTAGAATTTCACTCATGTCCAAATTCATTTTGTCAAATCATGTGGCAGATTTGAAATAGCTTTTTCTACTATGTTGTACAGGGTTAATAACAAATGTGTGTCTGTGTTCAGGCTGGTACAACCGGCTCTACATCAACTTCACTCTGCGGCGCCACATCTTCTTTTTCCTGCTGCAGACTTATTTCCCTGCCACGCTCATGGTCATGCTGTCCTGGGTGTCCTTCTGGATTGACCGCCGGGCCGTCCCCGCCAGAGTGTCTTTAGGTCGCCATATAAATTGTTCACAGTAGATTACATGCATTGCACAAAGAGCTATGAGACTGGAAGATTGAACTCATTCTAAATTCTCTGACACATGTAACCAAAGAGGTTTTTCTAAACTGTGCCTATGAACACATCAGCTATAGCATTAAATGTGTGGAGTGAACCAGTGTAAACTTTTGTGCAGGAATCACCACAGTCCTGACCATGTCCACCATCATCACCGGGGTCAATGCCTCCATGCCCAGAGTGTCCTACATAAAAGCTGTGGACATCTACTTGTGGACGAGCTTTGTCTTCGTCTTCCTTTCTGTCCTGGAATATGCTGCTGTCAACTACCTGACCACAGTGAGGGACGGCAGGGACCGGCAGCTCCGTGAACAGGTGCCATTTCCACTTTGGGTGCTGTGGGGTAATTCCGCATAGAGCTGTGTCTTGAGCGGTGTGCGGAGACCACTGTGTACTTACTAATAATTTATCATTCATTGTTTAATTTAAATTGACCAAACTGCCAAAAGATCAGCTGTGTTTTGGGGCTCTATGGGGGAAAATTCTAAAATGATCTAGTTCAGTATTTACACACTTGCCACAGTTTAACAATACATGTCAAGGTCTCGTGGGCATGGTTCTCCATTGATAGATTTTTTGTTATAATAATGTCCTTGTCAAATATTAAAAGCTAAGCATGGCCTGGTTAATACAGGTACATCTTACCAATTGTAATAATAATGCTTCACACTTTTTATGTGTCGTTTCAGGTTTATCGAAGCCTCTCAAAATGCTGAATTTATGTGTGTGAATGAGTGAGTGATGGTTGGAACAATACAACAGTTGCTTTGAGTGAAACATGGAGTATTGATTTAATGAATCATTTATTGCAAAGTTCTTTGGTAAGGTGCTCTATAAATTAAATTATTTATAATTAATTATAATTATTACAAGATTGCAGATATGATCATCCCATTTTTATAACTCAAGACAGGATTAGTCCTGGTGTATTCAGTTGTATTGAGTGTCATGCTATTTTGTCCTCTATCCTGGTTGTCATATTCATACTAGTTTTTCCATGGCTCAGGCATTGTGTAATAATCGTTTTGGGCCTGTTTAACTAGACTATTGAATTTTTATGTAATAAATAAATGTCTAAAAAACCTTCAGATTGAACAGTCAAACATGATCTTTCCTCTCTGCCTCCCCTTTCTGATGACAGAACGTCCCCTGCTCCTGCAGTCTGCCCCAGATCAGAACCATGATGCTGCATGGGAGCTACAGTGAAACAGAGACTAACAGCTTAGCCGATTACACCAGAGCTGTGGCTCCAGAGGACTCCTCGCACAAGCAGGAGCAGATGGTAGTGCGCTTGGCTCTGGATCACCTCCCTCCTGAGGAAGACAACAGGCCCCCCAGAGGCTTCAGGATCCTTCGGAACACTCACACCATTGACACATACTCACGCATGATCTTCCCCGGAGCATATATCCTCTTCAACCTCATCTACTGGTGTGTCTACTGTTAGTGCAACACCAGACCAACTACTGCAACAGAATGCTGCTGAATGGGACACCTTCTACTGGCTACCTTCTACTGGATATTGGCTTTGAGAGGTCACTTTGAAATCACTCTCATGGCTACTCTCATGGTTATGTTTAGGAACATTTTGTGAAAGTTCAGCTCACAAAGCTTTTTCCAGGTATGCTCTCTCCTGATTGGACATAACCCTGAGAGAGTGAGATTTTTTTTGTTTATTTATTAATGTATATGTTATTATTTCATACAATTTAGAATCTTTACACTTACACATAGGCTTTTTAAAATTAAACTTGTTATAATATTTATTTTATTAGTTTTTTTTTCAAGGAAAAGTGCAGGATTTAGTTATGTATGTTTTTAAATGACTTTTCCATTTTACAAGGTTGAACTGAATGCCTTAAGTCAAAACTTGACCTGCCTGTTATTGATGATGTCCTGTGGAATTTTGAGTTTTGATACATGTGCCATAGTTGTAAAAGCTTTAAGTTATTAAAAGTATAGTTTAGACTACAAATATGTGTTTTCAGTTCAAATAATAATAATTTCAGTTCAAATAATAATAATGCCTTACAGACTTGAGCCTGTAAGGCATTATTAAGGTTAGGCCTAACCCTGTAATCATTGTTCATTTACTCCATACACAAGTGGAGGACACAACGGGTGGGAATCAATCCTCCAGCCTTTAGGTTTCTCAGACCACTGCTCTTACCACTGAGCCTCCTGGGATCCACAAGGCTCAAACAGAAGTGTTTTATATATAAAAAAAAAAAAAAAATTTATGTAACTACACAATTTTTTTTTACCAGAAACACTGTGCAGTTATGGCTTCTCTTCAGATGCTGATAATATGAGAAGTAGATCTAACAGTTTTCTGAAGGCCTGTACTCCACAACACTAAAGGAATCATAAAATACACGAAAGTCCATTCATGAGCTCACTATTACACCACATGAGTGCGCTGTAGTGCTGCTTTCCTCCAGGGAAAGGTGATTCACTTTTAGTGTGCCAACAGTTATAGTTTTTAAAAGGTTTTGAGAATGACTTCAGGCTCTGGGCTCACACTGAGCTGACGAGAGAAGACTGTGTTCCCTCTAAGAGCACTGCAGGGAGCACACTGACCATATGCTTCAGACCAGAGCTAACTGGATCGTCTGAAATCTTTATGGCGCATTTGTAGGCTAGTAGACTACTTTGGGTACAGTTTCTCCCTTCGGAGGGCGTCTTTTCCAAAATCCAAAACTGATGTGAGCTAATTCTGTTCACAGTCAGGCAACTATGCTTGGTGCAATTAGTTGCACATAAAACCTTTAGCAGGTAATTAGTGCACTATGGGAGACATCTTAATATCTTAACATCTATTGCGCGATATGCGCTAAATCAATTCAAAATCATTTCGACTGTCTCAGTTTAAAGATGTAAGATGTAACTTTTCTACAGGTCACCATGGAGATGTTATTGCTCGGAATATTCCAACAACTGTATAGTAGTCTACAGTAGAAAGAATGCAGAAAGTATAAAGAAGGACTATATCCCTGAATCTAAATTCCCTGTAATTTTGAAAAAGAACTACTTTGTCAAATCTGCCAGCTCCTATTTCCTCTTGAATAGAACACAATAGTACATGCTCTCATCTGTAAACCTGCCCCTATGACTCATGGGAAACGCAGTCCGTGTTCAAAGGCTAAAACTGAACTTGCCTGAGGGTCCCAGCCGGACTCACCCACACAGTGAGTGTCTCTCTACTCGGTGGACAGCTCTGCCTTATTGAGCTGCATCTGAAGACCCCAGAGCAAATGACACACACAAGGAGCCTAAACTGTCCCATGTAGGCTATATTGGGCTAAGCCTACCAACCCTGTCAGATCTATTGGTTAGACAATTAGGGGCTTGGTCCAATTGATCTGGGAAATACTTCCAGTTTGTGCCTGCATAAACCACTATCAATTAGGGTACAGTGTATGTGATGTGGCTTTAAGTTAAGTAGTAGTTTAAAATTATTATTATGAAGGTTTACTTAGATTATTTATAGGCTAAGGACACCGACCAACACACACTAAACTAGCCCGTTATTCAGGAATGGTTCATGCGCGTGGCGCGTACTGGGACATGCCCGAAGAGAGAGAAGAGGGAGGCGGCAACTGCGGGACTAAGAGTAATGTTCACTGCCCGCGACAGGGACACTCCATAGGACCATAGGACCACACGGGACGCGGGACACAGGACGTGTATGGTTTCAGAACAGCCGGAGCCAGGTCCAGGGGCTCACGCAGAACAGCCACTCTGGATGTGGAGGTTAGTGTCTTATCGTGCTACTTTACTTAACTTGATTTGGCACGCGCTTTGATTTCATTTCTCCAGACTCTGTTCGTTGACTTGATCACAACAGGCTGTTGTTGTTATAGGGACATTGCAATAAGTCTGAAATGCAAATAAAAGTAATCTTGATGACACCTCAAATAGTCCAATGTTCTATGTTTATTATTTATTTTAATGGTCTCGTTCAGAAAGGTTCGTAATCGGTTCCGTAGGCTACGTTTGGTCGTGGTGTGATCCCGTCCCGTCAGTCACTGATGGGCTACTAGCTTCGTGCTAATGTTATGTTATTCGGTAGAGATTAGTTCAAAAGACTGTCAAAGCCTGTCATTCTTTTGTGACAACAACATGGGCCTTTGGCTCGTCCAGCTGGGACAGTGATAGTACCTGCGCTCTGCTTTTGGAGGTGTAGGCCTACGCAACAAAACAGGAAATGCGCGTTTGAGTACTTTCTGGGGTCTCAAAGTTGTGCAGCACTACGGTGTATAGAGGTCTTTGTTTTAACTATTATTGTACGTAGAGCCAAACTGTATAGCTTTGGACTACTTTTACAGGGAACTGGAATCCATAAAATTGTGTTAAAATAAGGAAAAAAACGAAATCAAAGGGTAACAGAATCCCAAAAAAGTTAACGTGGAGATTTTCAAGCCATTTAAAACCCTACAACTGATCTGTAATGGTGCTGTCTTCTACAGTATCGCCTGCTTTTATAAACTGTAAAATCCACTAACTTGAAGGTGCACTATGTAACTTTTCGAGTGGTGGGTTTATCACGTACAAGTGCATTGCTTATAATGTTCCACAGTATGGCAATAAACGTATCTATCTTCATGGAGACAAGGAGGTGACGCAACCAGGCCAAGTTACATATCAGAACTGTAGAGAGACCAGTCTTCTCACAGAACTAAGACATTTTTTTTTTTTTTAACAGCAGGCAACAAATCCATGGAAACAAGCAGGTCATGGACTCCCCCACCCCTATAATTATAAATTACCCTTTAGAAGTATTGTAATTATTCATTCTATCTGTAGGCACAACACCAATTGATCTATTTTAGACACAGCTCTAATTTGTTCATATTTGGAGCATTAGTGCTGAGAATAAATAGTCAAAAATCACCTCTATTTGCAGATATTCCTGCAGGAGTGATGTCGACTGAGATCCAGAGGAGTTGAACACAGCCTGGGGTCAGAGGTCAGGCCTAAAAGCATCAGTAAACAGTATGTGATTTGGTCTGAGAACAGATGCAGAGATGGGGCTCATGATTGTCATTGTTGGAGCTGTCATGTCATTCTACAGTGTAGTCAAGTGAATTTTCTAATTGGGAATCAAAGCTGGATTGGTGGCTTGGTGAAGGGGCACTCTTGTTCCGCCTCACAGCTGACCTTCTGCTTTATCAGCTGGACATGCTAGTTACTGTGTAGTGTAGTGTAAATAATGTATGTCTCCTTCCTTATTACTAAATGCACCAAGGACTTTAAAACTTATAGGTAAGGTATGTTGGATTTTTACCTGTGTCCCAAGATGAAGCATGAAAAGCATGAAGCATTTTAAATGAAATATAGATTTTACTCACTTTAATTGCAGTGTTGATTTATTCATAATTACGAAGAAGATATACAATTAGAAAGCAGTATACTCTTCACTTTAGATTTCCAAATCTTAACTTGAACAAAATTAAAATCTATAAACCTAGAAATGAAAGGTCTCATAATCAAGCTGGAAGGGTACATCTAATATCTAATATTAGGGTAATATAAGGTATCTAATATTGAGAGAATAGAGCCTAAAAGAACTGCTTCATTTTACTGGTTTAATCTTTTTTGACATAATTTTTTTCCCAGTTTGACTTGAAATCTGTCCTGCTCTGGCTTTTCTGAGTGGCCTCAGTGGAGCAGTGTGCCATCAGCCTGTAGCTGCCGGTGGGCAGGCCTTTCTTATAAACACCAGGGTGTTTTCTGCTCACTGCACCAGGACAAAAGGAGTGCACCATGATGGGACTCACAGGGGCAGGGTGGGGTTGTTCTGAGACCGCCTTCTCACTCACTGAAAAAAACACAACACTACTGCTTTTACCTGCCAGTGTGTTTGTGGTACACAGGTGATACTATAACAAAGGATTGGTACACTTGTGTTGTTGTGTTTGTCATAGTGTGTTACATTGCCAGCTTTAACTAAACTACTGTCATTTTTCTCTCACATTGTTAGCCTTAGTAATTTTAAATTATTTAATAAAGTCTTCATGAAAGGGTCACCAGGACTGAATAGATAGAGCATAGCGTAAGACCTATCTGTTTTGGTGAAAACAAGAGGTGGGATGAAGGAAAGATTCCCATGACATCAGCATTCCTCACCTGAGGCTCATGACCCCAGTGACCTCAGTGTGACTTGTGACTCTTGGGAAAAAGTCTGGGAGGCAGAGCTGGGCATGGTCAGGTCAGTAAAAACATGTCAGCTATGGTCTGTGGAATCCCCTGGTCTGGGCTTGTTGGTATTCTCAGTAGCACATGTTTCTGGAGGAGTGCAGAGTTCTTAAATGTTGGCACAAAAGCCGTTGCCTAGCTGCAGCGAGAAGCCCAGCGGCTGCTGTCAGAGTGCTTTGTGTGAACAGGGTCCCACCCCCCTCTATAGGACAGTCTCCATTTGGACCACAGGAGGTATGGAATCTGTGCATTCACCACCTCAGTCTTTCAGAGATGTTGAATCCAAAGAGGAATATTTTTCAGTCTCACTGAATGCCTACTTCTTCAACTGGGGGCACTGGAGGACATTCCTTATGCACAAACAGATCTATGTTGCAATCCTTTTAAGTGACTTCACTTTTTGTGTTTTTACTTTAGTGTCCCAGTTTAATCCACACTGAGTGAGGAAATATTTCTCACCTGTGCTAATAATTAGAAACACTGACCCACTTTTGCCCATAGAAAAACAATACTCGGGCTTCAGGTGTCTGCCAGAATTTTCCAAACAATAACAGTGCTCTGATTCAAGTAGTAGATGCCCTCAAATAATACTTTGAATGAAACTGAACATCCTGGGCTCAGTGAGTACAGACCACCTGCAGGAGACAGGTGATGGCTTAAGTGCACTAAATGTATTAGAAGGGCTCTGATCACAGCACGCATGTTGGGACATGCTCCACCGCGTGTCTGCTGCGTCCTAATGGCGTCTTTGCTCTTTCATACCCTACTATAAATCTATCTGCTGCAAAAACAATGACTTTTCAGGACTGATATTTTCTAAAGCAACCATGAGTCACTTATTGGGGCGATTTTTAGAGAGAGACTGTTGGAGATGAGTTCTGAAGGACTGCGACATGTAAAACCTTTTTAAACCTGGCATGAAAATGGCATAAATGATGTTTTATCGGAGTTTATTTTGTGAAGTGAAGTGAAGGACGAGAGAAGGCCTGTGCTCTTATCTCGTAGTAACTTGTAAATGCCAATCACTGCAGGAATGTTCCTGAGAGCATATCTAAAAACCTCTAAATCATAGCTGGACTAAAAAGAAAATAGACCTAGCCATGGTAAAACAGGTTGTGCCATTTAATTCTGAGGTTTTCTGAATTCATCTGTATGTGGACAGTGAACATGTCCAAGGATTCCAAACTGGGTCAAATGAAGTACTCCTAATCATGAAGCAGTTTTCTGTCAATTAAGTATCAGTAAAATCAGTTCTCCTCTATGTTAATGTAACTATATTTATAGTCCTTGACTGGATTCTGCACACAAGCCCAAAATCATGTTAGGCCATTTGAAAAGTACTTCTCAGTAGGCCTAAGCCAGCACCGATGCTGTGAGAGGTCTGTTTCCTGTTTGCTATGAGCTGCATGGCCCATTCACTCCATGTGTTTCCTGTCCCTCAGCACAGGACTAGGATCTGCACCTGCCCAAGTTGGAACAGAACAGCATGAGTTAGAGCGCCCCCTGCAGCCCATCAGTACACCTTCATGAGCCCACAGAATGAGGTGCATGCCCTCTCGGAGCGCCTCCTCGTAGCCTCGCACAAGGGACAGCTCCAAAATGTGGTTCACCTTATCAACAAGGGAGCGGAGGTGGCAGTGACCAGGGTGAGTGCACGATTGGAGTCAGCTTCCACATATCTGTTGTTTTTCCACAATAACTATTGTAACTCTGGAAAAAGTCACAGCCTGCACACTGCTGTAGTAACCACTCTTGTCTGTTTCATGTATCTTTTAGTTCGGCCGGAGCCCTCTGCACTTGGCAGCTCACAAAGGGCACATTGAGGTTGTGCATGTCCTGCTCAGAGCTGGCTGTGACCTGGACATCCAGGACGACGTGAGTACACAGTTTCATCTGACAGTTGCAGACAAGACTGGCACCCAGAGCCTACTTTTGGTTCATCCTCCTCAAATCACTCACTTTCAAATCTACCCTTCAACTTTCCGCTCTGTGGCCCCATGACGTCTATTGGGCTGGAGTGGGACCCTCTGGAGTGTCCCCTCATGGGCCTCTCATCAGGCTACAGAACCCCCTCCCCAGTGGAGCAGTGGCTTGTGGACTGGCTATGGTCTGAAAGCAGTGTGACGGAGCAGCAGCAGAGGAGGAGCTCTGAGCCCTGGGGGGCACTGAAGGTTAGCTCAATGTGCTTGTGCCAGTCCTCCTCCAATGCTGCTGCTCTGCTCCAGCCTGCTGACCTCTGACACCTGGCCTTGTCCTCTATTTCTTACTGCTGCTTCCACACCTTTTGGGCACAGCTGTTTTTGTCGCCTCTCTATATACCTGGCAGTAAATTGTTTCTACATTGGCTTGGCTAATACACACTTTACCTGACAAATTACTTTAAATTAGAAGGACACAAATTCAAGGACCCTACAGTGTGCCAGGTCTGAAAATCCTCCTCTGGCTCATCTTCTTATTGCTCTGATCTCACCCAGGGTGTTCTATGGCTGCAGGGCATTGCTTTGGCTTTCTTGACTTGCTTGATGTGACAGAGACATAGAAAATGCTTTAAAATTTTGATAGTGTGTTGCATTGTGATGGGATGCTTGAAGGGTTGTGGTATGTGTTGCAGGGCGGGCAGACAGCACTGCACCGGGCTGCTGTGCATGGGAACACTGCAGTCATCAGCGCTCTGCTCCAGGAGGGCTGTGCTCTGGACCGGGAGGACAAGGTACTCCACTCTTCATCATCACAGGCACAAAGACCAGTTAAACCACCATCTCGATATATCATAACAATATCTAATTTAACTTGTGTTTTAATTGGTAGGATGGAAACACTGCTCTCCATGAAGTTTCTTGGCATGGCTTCAGTCAGTCAGTCAAGCTGCTGGTAAAGGCTGGAGCTAATGTTCACGCGAAAAACAAGGTCTAATGATCATATATTTACAATATGTGTGCTATTCGATGCCTTCTCTGGGCATGCTGGAGGTCCTCACTCTCTCTTATGTTGGTCACAGGCAGGGAACACAGCTCTGCATTTGGCCTGTCAGAATGGACACACTCAGAGCACCAAGGTCCTGCTGTTAGGGGGCTCCCAGCCGGACGCACGCAACCATGTCAGTGAGCCACACAAATAGAGACAAAGTCAACTTAACTTAATTAACTTATTAAGCTTACATGCCAAGAACCAGAATGGTCTTTGCTTGTTATATGTGTGTTGTGTTATTGCATGTATTATAGTGTGAAAAACTTGTCTAAAGTATGCCTGTTGTCATTTGACATTGCAGACAGGGGACACGTGTCTTCATGTAGCAGCGCGTTACAACCACCTGCCCATCATCCGCATCCTGCTGGGTGCTTTTTGCTCAGTGTCACACAAAAATTTGGTCCGTGTATGCATATGTTTGATCTGTCCATAAACTGAGAGAGAAAACTAAGTGTACATTTGCTCACCCTGTGCAGGCTGGGGACACACCGCTCCACGTGGCGGCTGCTCTCAATCATAAGAAAACAGTTGGTCTGTTGTTGGAGGCTGGAGCTGACAGTCGCATCTGCAACAATGTGAGCCTCTATTTGCCTCAGATCAGAGAGATCACATAATAATCCACTCTGTGTCTTTCCAGGCAGGCCATACTGCGCTGGATTTGGCGAGAGAGCACAACAACCCCCAGGTGGCGCTCCTCCTAACTAAAGCACCACAGGTACCGTTAAGAGTTCAGTCTCAGTGAAATGAAGACAGTATGAATGTTTCTGAAGCACTCTGATGTGTTGCTCCGGACCAGTGCTTCGTCCGTGGCAGAAGTGCCAGGAAGAGGAGAGAGAAACTAAAGGCCGAGGGTCGAGCTCAGTCAGTCCCCCGAGATGAGATGCTGCCCTCGAAGGTAAACACATAGACACATTTGCATTGATATTAGAGATAGTTTCACAATGTGTAATGCTCAGTGTTTGACAGATGCCCTGATGTGGTGACCATCTCTGTCATGCCCAATGTAATAACACATATTTTCCATTTAGAGCTAACGTAGATATGTGTTCTCTCTCCAGGAAAGTGGCTCTGCTGCAGGTGACACACCTAGCAGTGACTTTGCATCCAAAAAGTCTGACGAGATCAAACAAGCCAACAGCAAACAGGCTAAAGACAAGAAAGGCCAGGGCAAGGTATCTCTTCCTACCGCTTTAACATGGATACAGTGGGTAAAGCTAAAACTGAAAAGTTTGTCTGTGTACAGCAGTCACTATCTGACCCCCTGCGACGTAAAGAGGCCAGACACAGCAGCACCCTCCACAGGCGAAAAGGAAAACTACGAGGAGTGTCCCCTCACACTTCCTTACCTCCTCACAACTACAAGGCCTACCAGCTGTACACTCTGTACCGTGCCAAGGATGGCAGGGTTATGCAGGCACCACTGAGTGGCTGTCGCTGTGAACCTCTCATCAGCAAACTGGAGAACCAGCTAGAGGCAACCAAAGAGGAAATGAAAACTGAGATTCATTCTGTCCAGGACCTGATGAACTCAAAGTTAGGCCAGCTGGACTGCAGCAACAAGCACCAGGTATCAGCCCTCCTCAGTGTTTAAGCAGCTATTGGCACATTCTTATTTTTATTATTTTTAACATGAGTTGAGGTAATTTTTAAATTCTGTCTTTTTAATATTATTTTTGTCGATAGAATAAATTAATTTTAGTATGTATTTAAATGTCATTTATTGCACTTCAGCATTTTTGGGCTGCTTAGGTTGTAAATGTGCTATAGAAATACAACTGACATTGTAAAGTGTAACCTTTACCTGCAAAAAAGCTGAGATGTTGATGCGGTTTATTTCAGATACGAGCTCTTGAAAAGCTAACCCAGGAGAGGGTGTGGGCCGAGAAGAGCCAGTGTCTGCAGAGGATCGAGCAAAGGGCCCTTCAGGAGCGTCAGGAGAGCCACAAGCGGCAGGTGACCACTTCAGTACCTCCAGAAGGAGCAGCTGTTATGTATTTATACTTGTGCTGTGAATGCAACTTACTTCTTGTCAAAGCAGGTGTCTTTAATGAATGAGCTGAAGAGCTGGTGTCTGTCCAAGCTTCAGAACATTGACACTGGCTCCTGTGAGACTCATGGTCTGAGTGAAGCAGCTGTGCTTACTGTGGTGCCTGACACAACTAAGATTGAGGCCTCGCAGGCAGGAGCCCCAGGTACCGGAACTCCGGAGGCTGGAGCAACTTCAGCTAACGACTTTGCGGTCCATGTGGATACATCTGCAGGTAAAGATTTTCAATGATACAGAACTAGAGAAGACAAAATACAACACAAATACATGAATACATTTTGAAATGTTCATCCTGAAGCTTCATTCTGAAGATCATGTTAGGGATGAATGTGTTTTAATGACAATGTGCCTTTCATTGACTCCTCATTACTCATGTTGTGATTTTGTGCAGAGAGAGTAGATGTAGCCTCTGATCCAGTAGTGCGACCCAAGCAGCGAGCTGTGCTCTCCTCAGACCTGAGGAAGGACAGAGACCAGGCAGGTTCTGGTCTGGACAGCAGCAGAAAGCACCGCACCAGCAGCCTTGACAGATCCAAGAGCCATCGGAGGCACTCTCAGGGCAGGACTAAGAATAAAGGAGGTGTAGAGGTGTTCAGGGAGCAGCCTGACTCCTCACTGACTCAGGAAAGGGACAGGCATGCGGTGCAGGTGACTCAGCACTTGTTTGAGACTGTGTCCATGCAGATGGAGCGCTGGTATGAGAGAAAGTTGCAGGAGGCCAGATGGCAGGCTGAGCAAAAGGCCCAGGCTGACCGTGCTGCTCTCCTGGACAGAATCACACACCTGGAGGATGAGCTGCGAGTGCTCCGGGCTCAGCAGCACTGCAGCTAATACACTGCAGCATGTGCTCATCAAAGCTGCCATTCTACTGTTGTTTCCTGTCTAGACTCATAGGCTCCTCTGAAGACAAGACAACAGTGGATGAAGAAATATCATCTGTAACAGCTGACAGCATTTTCAGAATCTGGACCAAACGGTAACAATGTTATGCTCCAGCCCACAACTGAACATAGGTATAACCTTCTGAAGCCTTAGTTCGGTGTAACAGACGTCATTAATCTCTGTTGTAAAGTGATTCAGAACAGTTTGACCAGTGTTTATTAGAGGGACAAAATAAAGTTTTAGTGATACAAGTAGAAACTAAAGTGAGATGTTAGCTTTTTAGTACATATTAAGTTACACTCACATTCAGCTATTTTTTTTAACTAATTTTTATTTGTTAATTAAT